CCAGTAGCCACCATGACAGCAATGTGACCAAGCGCCACTCTCCCCCTCCCACCTCAACTGTTTCCAGGAATATCTTTTCCTGGCATTTATATTTATCTTCTACTCCAATAAAGGGGTAGGGCTTGGCCTGCCCGACCACTGCTTTTCCCCAGGTGCAGAGAAAGTGACTGTGACATTCATTTCCCCAGAGAGTCCGGGGGAGCCAGTGGCAGTAACAGCAAGCACCGCAGTAGCTGTGACAGTGGACAAGAAGACAGCCATTGCTGCAGGTAGGAGCTGCCCTTGTGCCATAAGGTATGGCTGGGAGTCAATGCCAAGAACAAGACACATGGGGCTGAGTTCAGCTCACTGGCAGAGTACTTACCTAGCATTCGGGAGGCCCTGGTTCCATCCCCAGCCCCCCAGAAACAGAACAAGGCACAGTAATAGCAGGGTGTGCTCTCCTGGGTAGGGCTCCACTATAGCTATAAAAGCTCAGATGGAAAAGAATTTATGAAGGAATCAAATGAACTCCAGAGAGGTAAAGAGATCCGCCCAAAGTTACACAGGACACAGACTACAACCCAGACCTCCTTCCCAGTCCTCAGACATGGCTTCCTTCTGCCATTGCCTTGGTCTTTGGAACTGGGCTTGTGACTCAAACCCCTAAAGTAAGGGCTCACCGTGTCTGTGCCAGGCACGTGGGAATCACCTCTCTCACGGGGGACCCAATGGAGGTGATGGGTTTTGGCTTCATTTTATAGATGAGGAAATTGAGACATAAAAGGTATTTGTCCAAATTCCTACAGCTAATAGTTCATGAAGCCAGAACTTGAACTCAGACCACCTCTCTTTAAAGCCCAGTGTCACTGCCCTGTGCCAAGTTAGCCTTGACTTACGGGACCAGAGTGTCCAGTGACCCTCTCAAGCTTGCCCTGACTTTGTAGTTTCTTGGTACTAAAACAGCCCTTGGCGTCACTACCTCCTTGTTTGAGAACACTCAAGTTTCTGCAGTGACCTGATGCTTGGGTCTCTCCTGCTTACCCTGGTTCCAACTACCGCATCCCTAACTCAGCAGTGTTCGGAAAGGGTGTGTGGTCCCCTGGTCACCTGGCAATAGTGTGTCACGATAATGGTTCCAGCCTGGCCCTGGTTGGGTGGGAGGTCTCCACCACCAGAAGAGACCAAGTGCCTCCTTCCTGGGCTGCGTTCAGACAGAGGCACAAAAGGAGCAGGCTGGGCTCCATCTCCAGAGTCAGTGCTCCAACTGCTCTCCCTCTGTGCTAAGAGATGGGGAGAGGGAAGCTCACTCTGACATTGTCTGACACCTGCAGCAGGAGTTTCTGTCATCCCTGGTAGTCTGTGGCATGTCACCAATTTACAGCATTCAGAAGGGACTCATGACATCCCAGCACCTTTCTTCTCACAGCCCATGGTGCACTAATCTAAACCTGTTCCCAGGTCAGACATTGATTGCAAATTTATCTCCCCAAAGGCTGCCCTGTGGTATGGTCCCAGCAGGGCCTGTGCCTGTCCTGCTCTCTCCTGAATCTGGTCTTCTCAGCTCCTGCACACCTGAGGGCCTGAAGGAAGGGACACAGGGCCCGGTTGCTGGCTGTGCTTTCCTGCACTCTCCAATTATTTGATATCATTTTTAACTCAGAGCTGAATGAGAGCCGGGAGGGGTTGCCATAGAAACCGTGTCCCAGTGCCTCTGGTTGAACTTGCTGCAGACAATCGCTCTGACGCTCCGCTCCAGGGTGCGCGGATGTGATAGGAAAAGAATGAGGCGCTGGAGACCTGACACTGCAATTTCTTTTTAATCTCATTTTGTAATTTCCTCTCTCTGGTCCATGGCTCAGCCTCCCTGATCCTGGGGCCAGCTGGAGCCCGTAGCTCAAGGATGGGTAGGTGGCTTGTCTGCCGCTATCCCTGGGAGCTGTGTGCATGTGAGCTCCAGGGACGAGCACAGTGTCTGTGGTGATGGTGGGAGTGTGATGTTTGTGTCCTGAGCAAGGGGAGGCCATGGGAGAAGGACATCGCTGTGCATCTCCTGTGGCCCATGGCTGCTAGAGAAAGGTGGTGGATAGGGAGGGAGCCTTGCAATCCCTAAGCAGGTGATTTTCCTCATGCTAAAATTTCTAGAAATCTAACCTTTTGCTCAGGATCCATTTTCAATTCCCCATGGTCTCCCTCCAGGCCCTAGGAAGCGGATGTTCAAATATAACAATGATTGTGCCATGGCAGGCAGGATGTGTTTCTCTAGCAGCTGGGCTTAAGTGTCCCCTGCAAAGCAAAAATACCCCAGTACAGAGGTCTTTCCTGCTGTTGGGAGCTTCTGGAGGTTGCCCTCCTCAGGGGGTAGCTTAAGTATGGGCTTGAACTTCAGACCTTTGTGGGGCTCCCTCTGGGAACCCTGTTTGAGTAACACATATACGCATTACAAAGTCTTGTGCTGGCCTGTGGCCACTGTCCTGGTCCTGCAGTGACTGGGGAAGACATGTCTTCAGGCCTACTATAAACATTAGGGGTAGAGGAGGGCGACCCCCACACGGATCCCACCTAGGAAGGTGAAGTTTCTTCCAGAGAATCAGGGAGAACTCCAGCTTGGCAGCCCTGATGTCACACCTCTCCCTGGACTTTGCTCCTGGCTAGCTGGGTTGTCATCCCAAGACAGGATCCAGAGGAGAAAAATCCATCTTACCCTGAGATGAGCCACACAGTCCAGTCCTGCTGGGCCGGAGGCCATTCAGCCCTGTAGGTGACCAGCCAAGCAGGAAGCTGGTTCTTTGCTGTACAATCCCAGAGGCCTAGTCTCTGCTCTTCACCACTCCTCAGTCCCCACCCCCAGCTTTCCAGCACCTGATTCTGACTCCCCACCTGCTTAGTCCTTTGGAAGGGGCACACCTGTAACCCTGAATGGGGACTGCTCACACCTACAGTCAATCTTGAAAGGCCAGGATGGGAGTGCGTTGAACAGGGCTCCGGCAAACCTGTGGACCCCAGGCCAGTCTAAAGACACCCATCAGCAGGGAAGCACTTAAACAGCACACAGTCAACAGCAGGACCCTCTGTCCTTCACTGCCAGAACTGATCCTCTGCCAGGTGGATGAGCACCCCTGGGGCACAGGGTCTCTCTCTCACCTTCCTCACGCCACAAGCAGCACTCTGCAAGGAGAAGCCACCCTCAGGCTCACACTTCATACTGTCAGGCCAGAACGTGGGTGGCTTTAAAATCCCAGCTCAGCCATGCCCCAAGCTTGCCACCCTCGGCCAGGGAGCTTCATCCTATAGGATGCTGCCTTCACTTCTCTCTTAGTGATGCCCAGGGCCCCATCTGTCACCTGCCACATGGAACTCTGTGTATCAGAGTGATGTTAGGTAGTCTAGGGCAGCAAGAGGGCAAGATTTGGTTCTCCCAACACTCACAGACCCTCCCGCCCAATGAAACCAGGAGGTACATAGGAAAATACAGTCTTTATTGGTCTTCTGAAACAACAAACCAGAAATATAATTTTGCCTTTAAAAATCTTCCATCCCAGGCTAAAGATACCACCATTGACAACACCCTCCCTCCCCCAGATCCTTTAGAAAATTCCCAAACCTGGGATCAGCCCACAAGCCAGAAGAGGAAAGCAGACTACCCTCAGCTGAGGGAGGCCTGTGCTCCTAATGGGTGACCTGTGCAGGAGGCCCTCTGTCTACCTGCTGGAGAATGAACTTCTGGAAGGCTCCCCACCCACCACAATCTCCAGGGACGGGCCTCCTGGTCCTGCCCTGCACCCTCTACAGACCATTTCTTCAGTGTTCTGGCTGGCTTCTTCCTACACTACCACCAAGACCCCCAGTCATAGAGCCAGAAGCCAGCCTGGTGTCCTCTGACCCTCTCTGAGCATAAGGAAGCAAGGGCCAGCAGAGGGACACCTAGATACTCACCGGACATCAGACTCCTGAGGAGGGGCAGCTTAGCACAGGGGACAGTGACCCTGAAACTCTGCACAGCCCAGGAGGCAGGTCTCTGTCCCAGACCAGATACCTGGGCCACTTTGTGGTTTGGACCCAGTGTAGGTACAATGAAAAGCTCAGGAGCCAGGCTGAGCAGAGGAACCCAACAGGGAGGGCTGAGCAGAATGTCACTGTCCCCTCCCCTCTCCTGGAATCTGTTAGAGAGGTGTTGGAGGCAGTGAGCCTCCTGTGCAAGGGTCCCCTGCCTGCCAGCTGCTTTCCCCAAGAGGGACCATCAATCTGAGAGCACAGCACAGTCCCAGCCCCAAGGTCACAGACAGAAGATGCCAGAGATGGAGGGGACAGGAGAAGCAGAGTAGCAGAGCAGAGAATGCAGGTTACAGGAGTGGAGTTGGGTGTCCCCAGGGACCTGGGCAATTCTGAGGAAACACCCACTGGACTGTGCTGGGCTCCCAGGAGGCTGTGGTCCACACACACAGAGCTTCCAGCACCCCCTACCCCCGGAAAACCTAGCAGGAGAGGGGGGCAGGTTGCCATGGTAATGGGCAGGCTCCTCCTGCAGCACCACTTTGGCCCACTTTGGAGGATCTCAAAGGAACCTGTGTTTGGGCTCCTCCCCCTGCTGATGTCAGAAGACTGCAGTCCAGAGGCAGAATGCCTGTAGCCTTGGGGCTAAGACACAAGAGAGATAACAGGTCTCTAGCCCAAGTTCTCAGACCTTTGTTTCCAGGTGACTCTGTGTGTACACATTGCTACTTCCATCCACAAGACTGTGCTGGCAGTGCTGCGTGTGAGAGAGGGAATCCAGGAACAGTTTGTGATTGGAGCGTGGGGGGGCGGGGAGGGGACATAATGGCACAGCTGAGAGAGGCAAGATTTTGTGGTCACAGCACAGTTTCTCCATGCCAGGTCAAGATCACAGGACTGCCATGTGCACACCTGAGTACCAACTGCTGGGAGCTGGACCCAGCTTTCACACTGCAGGAGGGTTAACAAAATCTTTCTGGGTTAGAAAAAAAAAAAAAAAAACCACAGAAATCTATCCCTGGCTCCCAGGTCACTCACTTCCCAAGCCCTAAGTGCAGACCAGGCGGGGATGAGCAAATGATAGGAGAGTCACCCCCACTGGGACGGTCCCCAGGGCCAGAGAGTGAAAGGGGAGTGCTCAGTGAAGGCTTCCCTTGTACTCACATCCTTTCTTCCTTGAGACCAGAGGTCTTCAAGGGAGAGCACCCAGGTGTTCCAAAGACTTCAGAGAGGAGCCGTCAGCACAGTGGCGGCCTCTGGGGAGATTTGAAGTTCCTGGAGCTGGTCCTGTGTGGCCACTCTGCTAGAGAGCCGGGAGAAGATGGAATGGGGAGGCAGTGGGCACTGTCAGGTGGAGGCCAGGTGGAGGGAAGGGCCAGTCCCCAGTGTGCGCTCCCCGGGCCCGGTTTCTGGGGGGCGGCTCTCAAGCCACAGAAGAGATCTGCTTCTGGTCTTCATGCTCGCCCTCAGGGTCCCCCATCAGGGGCTGTCGCTTCTTAAGCTCCCGGTGGTACTTGGCCATGAGGGATGCGTAGATGCAGCCGTAGGCAGCAGCTACCACCATCATGATGCAGACGATGCCACAGACGACGCCTGCAATGATCACTGTGCCAATGGCTCGCCGTACGCTCACTGGCCGGTACCTCTGCTTCTGGGGACAGGCCGTACTGGGCTCCGGCTCCGGCTCAGCCCCAGGCTTGGGTTTCACAGGTTCTGGCATGGCCTTGGTGCAAGGTGGTCCAGGAGCATCCAGCCCAGTGGAACTGTTCTCGTCCTCCAGCCGGGAGCAGTAGTTAAACATCTCCATGGGGACGGCACGCATGTCCTTCCCCCGCAGCTCCTTTGGCAGGGTGCAGGCAAGCTGGTCCAGGCGCCCCCCTGCATCCAGGGAAGAGAAAAGGAGGAACTAAGCAGGCATTTAGCACCCAGGCTCCATCATCCTCTCCCCAGACTTCCACCGTGGAGGCCCAGAAGGTGCAGATTCTACCCACAGTGCACTCAATCCTGGAGCGCAGTCTACAGGAGAGGAAGCAAGCAGAGAAACTGGCTCTGGGTGGATGAATTGCACCCATCATGCCCTTATCTGCCTGCAGAAGCCATGGGAAATGGCCCATTTTCCTTATTCCCAAGTTGTGGGGCCATGTGCAACCATCTCAATCAAGCCCGCCCCCTCCAGGGTCACATGACCCACAGGACAGCAGTGCCACCCCAGGGAAGCTGCTCCTTGCAAACGGAGCCACATCCTGTCCAGACTGCCATCGCTCTCCTGCTCTGCCCGTGAACCTGCCTGCTTGTCTCCTGTCTGTGAGCCCTAGACACTATTCTCAGCGCAGTCCATTACGCTCACAGAAAGGACAAAAGTTAAAAGCCACTGCTTCTGCCTCCTACTCCTCCATGCAGGACTTAGGTGGCCTGAGAAGACCTCCTTGAAGTGGCAGGAAGGGGAAGGTTAGGCAAGAGTGCTTTCCTGGTGCTCCTTAGAGCAACCAGTGGTCCCATCAGTGCCCTAGGACAGTATCTCTGCTGCAGAGGCATCTTGGGAGGGACAATAAAGCCAGGAGAAGAGGCTGGTGCTGGTGAGGGTGTGTGGACCTCCACAGAGCCAAGGCCCACTGTCTTCAGAATGTTGAAGGCTAGGTAGACTGGGTGGGGTGAGAGCAATGGCAGTTAAGGACAATAATCTGCCTAGATGTCTGTCCCCCAGGAAGTGAGAGTTGGAGTTTGGCATTCTTTCAGCTGCAGTGAAGTCTAGACGCAGCAATAGGCACCCTGCTGAGCGGAGTGGCTCCAGCCCCTCTGTCACTGCCAACTCCCTGTCCCCGCCCAGCCTCCACCAGTCTTTTCACACAGAAGACATCAATCTCACCCCAGGATGTGGACGTAAACATCCCAGGATTTTCTGAAAGACTGCCAGGTTGAAAACAACTGTCCTATGGAAAGGTCTGGAAAATGCATACTGCCTTCCCCCCTCCAGGCCCCCCACCCTTTTGTGCTGGGATCACTGTGTGAGGGCCAGGGGGTTTCTTTCAGCTCCCCTGTGCTGCTAACACCCTGGGTGGCCTCCAGTGAGCATGTGTCCAGGGTCACCTTTGCACATGGGCTTGTAAGTGGTAAAAGAACTGGGTACCAAGAGGGGTGCAACCTCATTTTCATTTTCCTGCCTCCCCCTCCCCTCACACTTGCTAGGCAGGCTCTCTACAGCTTGAGGCACAGCTCCAGCCCATTTTGCTCTGGTCATTTTGGAGAGGGAAGGCTTTCTCCAACTCTGTTGCCCCTCCAGCTCTCAAACTACAATCCTTCCAAGTAGCTAGGATTACAGGTGTCCCTCGGCAAGTCTTAGTTTTCTTAGCTGTAAAATAAGAATGCCTATCTCAATTAGATTCTGGAGCCATCAAAATTGCATAAAAAGATATTTGTAAACTGGAAACCATACAACAGCATTAATCATTATTTCTCCACTGAAAAATGGGAGGAATTACCATGGTGACTAACATCCCATGGCACTTCATAGTTTGTAAAATGGTTTTAATTAATTACCGTATCACAATAGCACAGAGATAATTGAGTTGAGTTTGGGTCTGGATAGGAAATGAAAGATGAGTGAGGAGAAATGTGAATGTCATTCTTAGTCTCCACACTGATTCATTCATTTAGCATCTGCTTTGTGCTAGGCACCAACTTGTGTCTGACCAAGTGCACTTGATTTTATGAGTACGTCTAGCAAACGAGCCAGTGAAAGAGTGTTTTATTGAGGACTTACTATACGCTGGGCACATCTCAAGACACTGAACATGCATTACCTTATTTAATCCTTGTAAATATCCTGTGAAATAGGCACTGCTTTTGTAGATGACACACTAGCATAGAGAGGTTAATTAACTTTCTTAACATCACACAGCTCGTGAGTGTCACTGCCAAAATTTTCACCCAGATCTGCCACTTTTAATCACAGTCCTTCTTTATTCACTCTCCCTCTCCATCTCATCTAGTCACTTCATCTGCTCATTTTAAAACTTTCCCAGGTTAAAGAAAGGGAGAAGGGAAAGAAAGCAAAAGTAAAACCATTTGGCTTATTAATAACAGTTTTAGTAACAAAACTTCCTGGGACAGGAAGCTGGTGTCATCCGTAGGAAAATGTGGCTGTGTCTGTGGATTTGTCACATTTTACCCTCCTGTGAACATGGGTGCTTGAGAAGCAGCCTGTTAACTTAGAAGAAAGCTGGGCTGGTTTTTCTTCATCCTTCTACCATGCCCAGAGACACACTTGGTGGAATGCAAAACCCAGAAAAAGCATCCTCTAACTTTAAATTCATTCACTAAACCTACAAAAGTGAGGTCAAGTTGCAGCCATTAAGGAGTCTTAAGGAGCAGGACAAGAGAAAGGGAGGTTGGAAACAGGGAGGGGGGTGTCACTGAGCAGGCAGGTGCAGGTGTGGGGAGGGAGAAGCGAGGGAGGGCAGTGTCTCATCATTTGAGGGTGAGGCTTGTGACTCTTCCAGTCTAGCTGGTCACTCTTCCTTCCCCTGACTTCATCCCAGCCACTGGGGGAAAACCTTGGCCAAGGTGTCCCCTCCCGACACCCCTCTCCCAGCAGGGCCACCATGCTCACCTCGGTAGGAGAACCACTCCATCCAGTGTTTGAATTCACGTAGGTTGCAGTCACACTCCCAGGGGTTGTCCCCCACCTGCAGCAGCTGCAGGCTGGCCAGGGGCTCAAATGTCAGCCGGTCCAGGTTCTGCAAACGGTTAGAACGGAGTGAGAGGGAGCGCAGAGCAGGGAGTCCATCGAACAGCCCCGGGGGCAGCTGGGCCAGGCCGTTGATGGACAGGTCCAGGTGGCGGAGCAGTGGGGCATGCTGCAGCAGGTCTCTGTCCAGGGTCCTGATGCTGTTATTACGCAGCTGCAGCTCAGTCAGATTGGTCAGGTCCTCGAAAATGGAGCGGGGTAGCTGGTCCAGGAAGTTGTTGGACAGGTCCAGCCGCTGCAGGCTGGACAGGTTGGCAAAAGCCCAGCTTGGCAGGGCACTCAGTTTATTGTTCAAGAGCAAGAGACTGCGGGTGGCAGCAGGCACATCTGGGGGCACAGAGGTGAGGCCCAGGCCACTGCAGTCCACCTCCAGGCTGCGGCCATCACAGGTGCAGGAGAAGGGACAGGTGGGGAGGGCCTCCACGGCGTACAGGGCAATCCAGCAGGTGATCCCTGGGGCACAGACAGGTGGGAGAAAAGCAACAGGCTCAGAGCTACCACTTCTACCTCTGTCCCCTCCCTCCCAGCTTTATCTCCTTTGCACAAGTCATAATCAATACACAGAAAGGTAAAGAACAAATCCAAAGACACTCATGTTAATAGACATCACACAGTGCTGGCCAGTCCTCACCTTGCAGCATGTCAGGAAGAAATCACTTTAGTGGTTACCATGCTACAGACACAGGCCTGAGCCCAGAGGAAAAGCCATGCTGGCTCAGTGACATCCTGTTCATGGGGCTGCCCCATGATTGATCTTAAAGGAGACTTGGGTCCCGACACCATAGATGTTGACAAAATAAAGGATATAAAGATTCCAGAGAAACCTGCTCCCGTCATGCTCTCATGAAAGATTCTGTCTTTCCAAAGACAGACAGGTCTTCTCTCTGGACCCCACCCCACCCTGGAGCTGCCTGAGGCTAAGACATGCTGTGCATGGATAAGGGAGGTCACTAAAGGACATTCCTAACTGTCTCCTACCACTTCCCAGTGCTGTCCCACTTATGTGGCTCCCACATCCAAGATGGCGTCTGTAACTCACTGTGAGGACTGGAAGCCCAGGCCTCCCAGAGCCCCGCTCCAGCTTTGTGGGCATGACAAGGGTAAGATGCATAGCACCACTCCAACACTGGCTAGTCCAGGGGCCCAAGACAGATTGCTGCTTACTCTTACTCTAAAGCCACCATGTTCAGCCTGGGCTTCTGTTCCTAGGGCTACAGGGCGGCAAATCTGCATGATGAATCAAGTATAGAATTCCCTTCATGGTTCCATCTTCTACCAAGACCCCTCTGACTAGCACACATGGGGTCAGGTCTACGGGAGAGCTAGGGGAAGTGACCTTCAGAGAACACTCAAATAGGGCTGCTCATTCCACAGTGGAGGGAATAGTGACCTTGCAGCTGCCTAAGTGTCCTCCCAAGCCTGATCAATGTGGAGGGAAAAGGATGAGTTCAAAACAGTTCTGCCCCACTGGGTCAGCACCACTGAGTCCAAAGGAAAGACACCATCTGCAGAACTGGTGTCTCCTCCCTGGACCAGCAGCTACCCTGACAAAGGCACCTGGATGGGACAGTCTTGAGTCTCTGTCTGGTCGGTGTCTGGTCACCTTATGTCCCAGGATGACCCTGTCTCCTGCTTCTGCCTGGGAGATCGATGACAGTGCAGAGACACACTGCAAGGCTGACACCTGAGACTGTTCTTGACGGGAAATGAGCACAGCTTGGCCACAGAAGCCACTTGGAGACTTCTCCCGGCCACCTGGGATCACCTGCTGTGACCTGCCACCCCACACCTCTCTGAGCCCATGTGCTGCAAGATCAGCCTGCCCCACACTATCCCCCCAAAACCATTAGAACATCAACAGTCTTCAGACTTTACCTCTGCAGGGTAGAAAGAAGGAAATCCAACTCTCCAGCTTCCCTCTCAGCAGCATGGACACTACTAGAAGTTGCCTCCCTCCCTGAGAGGGAGTAAGGAGCTTAGCTAGACAGGTAGAGCAACTCCTTTCCTCTCCCCCAACCCAGAAATTCAGACTGACCTCAAAGCTCTAGTGACAAGAACGCATAAGCCTGTATTGCAATGAGTTGCATGACCCCAGAATGAGGTTGAAAGGAATCTGAGTTGCTCAGGGATCAGTCACTTTCACCTGGTGAATAATTCAGGCTGCTCGTGTGCAGGGCAGCTGGATTGCAGGCTGACCAAGGCCAGGGGAGAAGTCAGGCAGAATACTGTCCTTTACGGCAGGTTCTTACCTCTTGCCAGGTAGCCTCGGGCAAACCAGCACTTGTTGACCTTATGCCTTTGAAGAGAAGTCTCAGGATTTCTTTCACCGACAGTCAGCCCACAAGGGTTACCACCATTCATGTTTATGCAGGGAGGGTGGAGCCAATCCCAGGGTCCCTTCTACTGCCACACACAAGGGCCCACTAGTTCTCCCTTTAGCATCCAGAAGCCCGAGGCACAGCAAGTCTAAGCAGCAGCTCCAGGTTCACCCAGTGAATGGTGCAGCAAGGCAAGTGGTAGCTGCCCTTTGGAGCAGGGAGGCTCAACCTGACCTAGGACTGCTGGATTGTCAGGGCAGACTTCCTGCCCCTGTCAGTGCCAGCCAGTCCACTACACACATGCCGGCCATACTTGGAAAGCATGGACTCTGGTTCAAACTCAAGAAGTCTAGCTGTTTTCCAGCAGAGTTCTTTTATTTACTGCCAGGGAACCCAAAGCATGGGGAAGAACACCACCAACTTACCTGGGGTGCAGAACCAACTGTGCTAGCCTTGTGCTCCTGTCCTAAACACTGAAGCGCCCAGCAACAGCTGTCTTTGGCTTATCATGGCATGACATGCCTGGTGTTCCAGAACAAGGCCTCAGGCACCCTGGGAAGGGGTATCTCTGAGTTCTGTGCCCTGCCAACCCCCACCTGCAACTGTGCCCATACTCACAGGAGGCCTGCCGCCACTGCAGGCCTAGTCTGGCCCTCTGCTCAGGGACACTGCCCAGTGCCGGCATGGTGAACCCCACGGCTCTCTGCAGCTCTGGGGACAGAGAAGCCCCTTGGTGTGCACTGCCTGTCAATCCTGAGAGAGATGGAGAGATAGAGTGGTAGATGGAGGCAGGCATTCAGCCGTTCCAGTCCAGGGGTTAGAGAGAGAGCCCAGGTATCTCTTTACACTCCTCATCCCTCTCTTGTTCCTCTCAGCTATGATGCCCAGGAGGGGGAAAGAAGAAAACCAGGGAACAGAGAGAAGCCACAGGACCTTTCATCTCCCTTGGGGGGATGAGCAAAGGCAGCTCCAGGCTCCCCAAGCGCCCACAGATCAGGCTTTAGGTGAAAGGACTCAGAAACTGATGGCCAATGTCCCCATGTCCCCACCCCAGCCTCTCCCTGCCTCCTCCTCTCTGGAATGGTGGTCTCTAAAATGCTTTCATTGCAGTGATTGCTCTGACAGGCTTTTCCACAACACAGGTGGGGAAATTGAGGGCTGTCTCTCTTAGCTAAGCAGAGTGATATCTCAAGCCTCATCTCTCACCTGTGCTGCTAGCTTCCCTCACCCCAGGCCCGGTATTCCCAGTCACCCTGCTGCTTACCATGGCACCTGGGAGCCAGAGGCCAGGCCCTTCACAGAGTCCCCTGACTGGTCCTGCGTGAGCCACCAGGAGGCCCCCTGCTTCCACCCCCACTGTTGCCTTGGAGGTGAAACTTGACGCTCTGTCTTCAGCCAGCCAGTCTATAATAAGACTCATCAGCTCAGGGGTTCCAGCTACAGCAGCTGCTGGTGAAGGAGAGACACCAGGACATAAGGAGAGGGTGAAATCACAGAGGGCCGGGATGCAGAGAGCTCTTCTGGGGGGCTACAAGGGGAACTCTGCCTTTCTAGGGTCTTCTCCAATCCAATACCTCCTAAAGGGGCACATCCCCTCCTCTACATTGCCACTTACTTCCAGACATGACTGAGAGCTGCTAGATGGAAAGCCAGGGTCTCCACCCCGCCAGCCCCAACAGAGGGTCAGATACCACTGCTGTAGCCTGCAAGCAGGGTGGGGACAGGGATGGGGCCATATTGGGAAGACTACGCATGTTCAGCTCCTTCCTGACGTCCTCTCCTCCTGGCTGGCTTCCTTGCTTGCCAAACTCATCGTGCCTGGGTAATTCCTGGCTACAGCCTCCCCTCTCCCGCCTTCTGCAGGCCTGTTTAATTCTGGGAGCCGAGGAGCCAATAGCAGAGTGGCGCTGACAGCTGAGGAGGTGGATGGCGCCACCCGGATGATTGGGCGTAGAGCCCAGAAGTCTGGATTGTCCTGTGCAGGTTCCCCTCAGGCATTAAGGTCCTGCTAAAGCTCCTGTTGCCTGCTCCCCGCGCTGACCCCCACCTTCTTTCCTCCAGTCCTCATCCTCATCCCATCCCTACTGGTCCTCAGGATGCCACCATGGTGACCTGTGCTGCAGTGGCATGTGTGGTGCCTCAGAGTGGACTGAGGGTAGCTCAGGGGTAGCTCACTCTGTCTGTGGGTCTTGGCTTTGTCCTTCCTCTCCACCTCTTCTCTGTATCGAGGCAGCAGTTTGTGAAGGGCCAGTAGGAGCCATGCACCATAATGGGGCAACAGAGCAGCTACAGCAGCTTGGTCGTCTTTCTCTACCTGCTCTCTTGGGGCAAGGTCCCTATAGGCTCCTGGCTCAGATTCACAGGCAGGGAGGCTCTGGGTTCAAATCCTTGTCTGGCCAGTCCTTCAAACAAATGGCTTAACCTCTCTGGGCCTCAGCTTCTTATCTCTAAAAGTGATCACCTTGAGAATTAATTGGTGGGATTTGAGAGTTAGCATATACCTTAGAAATTTAGGTGACTGCTCCAACCTTGAACTCAAGCCTGTGATGGATGTGAGAAAGCATCCATCAGTACTTCCCTGTGAGAGGGATCAGCAGCAGGTCTAAGTAACAGCTTTCTTCCTGGGCCCACCAACTTCACACTCATATGGTACTCATGGTGTTCCATGTATATCTGACCTTCCCAGAACTCTCCTCAACAGACTGCAATGTCCACTCTTGCTGGGTCCCTCCAGCCCTGACCTTCAGACACCAATCAGATTCACAGATCGCAGCATCTTTGAAACTGTGGGCTGCCCAACAGCTACCCAAGTACAGAGAGGACGACCAACTTGGCCAAGGACACATGGCACATCAGGGACCGGATTGCAAGCTTCTGAGTCAGACTGCTCATTCCTGGCGACTGTCAGCCAGCAGTGCCCTCACAGGGAGATACTTCTGTGTGCACAGAGCGGGGTGTGCACCCACGGGCCTCCCGGACACGTGCCTGAAGCTGTGTGCACAGCACATGATGCAAACACACACTTGCAGATAGCTGTGCAACTATGCATGTCCTAACACACACATACACACACGCACGCCTGCACACACACACGCATGCCTGCACACACACACGTGCACACGCACACATGTCCTACACAGACACATGTCCCACACAGACACATGCCTTGCTGGCAGCATTCCAGCACTTCTCAGATGCTAGCACTTGGACAGCAGAGTGGGATGCCCCCAGCAGACACTCTCAGCTAGAAGAAAGATATGGCAAGAACCCCCACTGCACAGTCAATAAGTCAGGCTGTTTTCTGTGCTTGCCCAGGTGGGGGCTGGAGAACCAGTCCAGGTCTGCTCCTTCTCCTTCTGCCTTCCTTTGTGCAGACAGGCCATGGAGGGATGCTCCCAGCCACACTCCTGCCCCTCCTAACAGGCTCCTCTTCCCATCCCACCCACCCCCTCAGTGTCACCTGTACTAATAAGACCAAAGGTAGACGAGCAGTCACTCAGTGGAGAAGGTGACCTTGAGTGCAGGGCTGACACCAGCCTTGCATTGATTCCCCATGTACAAAACAGGACATGCAAGTCCTCATGATGCAAACCCATAGCATTTTCTGGTGAGGTGGCAGGACCCTGTTGATGGATGTACTCTGCAGAAATATGATGCAAACAAGTCCCCAGATCCAGGAGAGGATGCCCTGTCCATCTGGGTAGGTGACCTTGCCTCTGTGGGCCTCCGGGCTCCTTGGTGGATGTCAGAGCACTCCTTATCCACAAGGAGATGTGGAGGGAACCTGCACTTCCTAGTCCCCCACCCTCTGCCTGCCCATACTACTCTGAAGCAAGGACCCTTTCTACCCCAGAACAGCCCCGCCTCCTCAGGAAAGGGGTAGCCATCATTGAGAAGCACTGACCACTGCTGAAATCAATTAACACTTTTCGAGAGGAGTGATGAGTGGGGGACAGAAAAGATATGGGGGTCCTGCCAGAAAGATTCCTTCTACCCTATTTCTATGACCTCGTCAGTTTGGGATGCTACACCTTCTTCTAATGCTTGCCTGGGTTTTATCCTAGTCCCAAAACCAGAGAGACCAGAGAGAAGGAGCTGGGCCCAACTAGGGTCCCTAGGCCTTCTTCTCTGGGCTCCTGATTGGAGATGAGGCTGAAAAGCTAGAAACAGTCAACCAGGGAATCCTGAAAACCAACACATGGCGTTTTGACTCCAACCCCTTGTTATACAAGCTGGGGACCAGCAGGCTTGGTCTAGCCTGGCAGCATTTTAGCAATGCCAGGTCTCAGGTCCCATCCAGACTGAGGGATCAGATGCACATGGTGACATGTTCCCAGGCAATTTGAATGCATATTCAAGTTTGAGGAATACTAGGTTGGCATCTTCCGGGCAGGGACAAATAGCCACACAGGACAGGTAACAGTTGGGAATGGCATAGGTCAGAGTGAGCCTGCAAGAGCAGGGACTGAGACTGGACAGGACTGGGCATTGACTTGAGCGCTGCCTTCAAGAAGCCTTGCATGGGGAGGAACAATGGCCAAGTCAGTCACCTACTAGCATTCTTGAGAGCTTGTTTGGAGGTTCTAGCAGGGGAGCGCAGCTACTCTATACCCTTGACCGAAGAATGGTCCTCATCGGTCCTCCTCTTCGACCAAGCACGCAGCTCAGCTTCGGGAGGGACGCACATGGAGCGGTGAGGGAGGAAGGGGACACCCGCCTAGCCAGCCAGATCAGCCGAATCAACCCTGGCAATCAATGGGGTGACAGATGTCGCAGCCAGATCGCCCTCACATCCAACCTACTAGCATTCTTAATGCTCATCCAACTCTCAGGGTCTGCAGTATTATTATTAACATTATTATGGGGGAAATTGAGGCACAGGAAGTTAAGCAACTTGCCTAAAATGGAAGAATACAGCTCTGTGCCTGAGCCATCTGGCAACAAAGTTTTTGATTCAGTTGCCCTTATAAGTTCCCAGGTCTATCCTGTTCCTTGTCTGCTCACATGTGGAGGCAGGGCATTTGTGTAAAACTTTATTGTTTACACAGCCTCCCCTCATCCACTGTCTCACTGGAGCTGAGCAGACAGCTGTTCTTGTTCCCTTCCTACCCACAAAGAAACAAGTTGGTGACTTACTGGACCGAGATGCAAGCCAGGCCACCCTCCCAGCCTCCTGTAGTAAAGACACAGGTGTGGTGATGACAAGTACTGGGAAGGTGCTGTCAAGGGGCTTCTTTGGCAGGGTTGGTTGCCAAAGTGAGGGAGAGTAGCCTGGGGATGCCACAGGCTGTGCAAGGGAGAGAGTGAGGAGTGAGCATCAGGAGGGGCAGTCTCCATGTGTCCCTGGAACCCCGGCCTGCCCCATCCCGGGGTTAGAGCAGTCTGTGTGTTCATCCACTGCAGAGGGTCGGGGTCAGGGTTTCAGGTGCATCTGCCCTTCCTTTGCTCTTACAGATGGAGGCTTACCAGCCTGTGGGGCTGGCTCAGACTTAGGCTGGGAATTTCCAACAGATTCAGCCCAGGCCCACCGTCCACACACACCCTTCCCCTGAGCTCTTTGTCCTCATCCACCAAGTCAAATGTCTACACTATGCGGCCAGTTTAGTGAGCGCCTTCCCCTGGGCTGTCACCCCCTTGGATCAAGGCTTCTGCACCATCTCAGCATCAAAGACCCATGGAACTGGGGTGGGGGAAGGGCAGCAGAATGGTCTTCACGGTCTACTCTCTTACCCTTTGTTCTGCCTGGAGGCTCAGGGCTAGTGAAAGGCAGACAGGACCTTGAACCTGTAAGGGCATGTCCTCTGTGAGGGAATCTGGAACCTGACAGCCAGCCTGAGTCCCATGAGGAGAGGGCTTGGGACTCTGTGTGGCCCAGACCACAGAGAGGCTGCCAGTGTCCCCTGGGCTGTTGCCACATGTCTGGCCATGGGACCCTTCTAGGAAACACTCCAGATCTGTTCCCTGCTCATCACCCCCACAGCACACACTGCCCAGGCAACAGGGAAGCTAGCTTCTAAATCGGTCTCTAGATTTGTGCTTGGAACAAGCACATGCCCTCCTGGTTCCTTTTAGAACACCTGCCCCTTCTCACTTCCAGCTTCCTGCACCATATTTCCTTGTCAAATTCCCCCTGTCCTAGACAGATTCCCTGGGAAAGGGAACAGGAAGGCCCAGAGGCACCCCACAGAGCTGCTCTCTGACATGAATAAGCCAGTCTAGTCCATTGTGAGAGTGTGCTCCCACCATTCAAAGCCAAAGCTGAAGCCTCCAGAAACCCCAGGCAGGGGCTGGGGAGGCTTGACCTGGATAGAAGGAGGGAGACCCAAGGGGACATGCTACCTCTGTCAAGACTCCTTCCCCTCTCCCACCCCCACAGACACCCACAGCTATTGCATACACTCTCCCCTGCTCCCTCCCCCGCTGCCCTACAGACCAAAGCAGCCTATCTGTGACTGTGGGTCCTGGTGCCTGGGTAATGGGAGCGAGGTCAGCTCACCCTGGGCCCCAGATGCAGCTTCCAGCCAAACCCCAAAGAACAGATGGGCTGCTTAAGAAGCTGCCTCCTTCCCTGCCACCCCCAGCCTGGCTTTCCTGGTCTCCCTTTTCTGGCAGAGCCAGAGCCTTTCTGCCAGTGGGGAGGTGGGGGTGGGAGAGCTGGGCTCTTCTTGGCGGCATGGAAGCTGCTGTTGGGTTTCCCTACCAGCTGGACTTCCCCCGCCCAGCGCCACGTGCGGGCTCCCTCCCCTCCCCCACCTGCTGTAGTTATCTAAGCTGCAGGCCTGTCAATCTGAGTCACAGGAGGCAATGCCCAACAGGCCCTGGCAGCCTGGTGCCAACATCACCACCACCGCCCTGGAATGCAGAGGGGGGTGAGGGGGGCAGAGCAGCCAATGGGAACCCAGCCCGACCTGTGGGTTGTGCGGGAATTCTGACTACAGATTCCTGGGTAGAATTGGCCGGCCTTGTGGAAATGGACCTGGGGTCCTGAGCCTGAGAACCACTGTCCTGCTCCAAGTTGGGTGTCCATGCCCCTGAGGGTCAGGCAGCCAGGTGGACGTGGCCTGGTTGCACACCACCCCCTAAGCTGAGCGCCCAGCTCCCAGGCTGGTGTGCAACACGAGGCTACCCAAGCGGTTCTCACAAGCCTGGCTCCCTTATCTAGCCTCAGGTGGGTTAGAGCAAGGCCCAGGGCTTGCAAGGAAGAGCTGCCTCCTCTCCCTCACCCACTCTCAGCCACACCCACACCAGGGAGGTCTCCACACGGCTTTGTGGACCCACGTCCACCCGGGATGGACTGGCTCCATTGCACCCTTGTCCAAGGGCAGCCAACAACCCCCGCCCAGGGCAACCTGTAAAGAGGCACTGCCAGTGGTGTATTCCCATGTCTCACTCAGTGGGTCCTCTACCCTGCACCCCCCACCCCAAGCTGTCCTCTAAGGCAGCCCATCACCAGCCTCCCCTTAGCACCCAAGTTCCTCCGGCTGCCCGGATGCAGGCAGCACAAGGCTCTTAGCTGCCGCTTCTCCTGGGGCAGAGACCGGTTTCTATGCCACCAGGGCTGTCATCTGGCACCAGCACTGCCCTCCTCCCCCTTTCCTCTCCCTCCCTGCCCCCCCCCCCGGCAGAATGTACAGCTCCTGTTCCCAGCACTGTGGGGTCAGAGTTCCCAAGTGTCATACCTTGGGGATGCCCAGATGTCTGGTCCTGAGCAGACACCTCCTCCAATAGTTGCCCCAGGCAGAAGGCGCCCGCTGCTGATGGTGTAGGGCCAAGAGACCAAAGATGGTCCCCGTTCCCAGGCCCCAACGGCCCGCTGTGCCCACTAGCCCAGATCCTTCTTCCCGCACCACCACCCCCCGCCCCAAGCCCCCCTCACACTCACCTTCTTGCCTTGGATGCTGAGCCCTTAGATCAGGTGGCTCTAAATCCAGACCCTTCGGCCAGGCGTGCGGGCTCCGATCCGGGACCCCATCTGGCGTGCGGGGGGTGGAGTGCCCGCGGCGCTGCGCGGAGGGGACCGGGCTGCTGGGTCGGTAACAAACTGAGAGGGAAGAGGGAGGGACGCAGGGAGCCGGAGAGGCGAAGGGGAGCGGGGAGCGGAGCGGAGCGCGTGTGCGCGAGCGGAGGGAGGGAGGAGGGACGGCGGGGAGCGGGCGGCGGAGTGACAGCTGGGGTGCATCTGTGATGACAGTGCTCGCGGCCGCCGGGGCAGCGCTCACCCTTGCCACGCTCTCATTTCAGCGGAAAAAGCGCCTGGGGTGAATGGCTTCCAGCGCCTGGCAGGAGGGGAGCTGATTTACCTTGTCCCTCCATTTTCCTTCCCGCGCTTCCCCCAGGCTCTCCCTCGCGCCCGGCGGCCGCCTTTCCTCCTCTCGGCTCCTCTCTCCCCTGGCACTTGAGGAATGACAGGCAGAGTCTGCAGACTGCCTTTAGTCCCAGACCTCCCTTGGAAGCCGGGTCCCATCTCCTGATTCAGAGACAGCCCTGCAAGGACCGTGTCTCCCATGCTGCCTGGGGCTTCTATCAAAAGCTGATTCATCTCAAAAGAGGAGCACACAGGTGCCCCGGGATGCTGAGGGGCCCCAGACACACAAAGTCAGAGGCCACTTGGTAATGCAGAGGTCCCTGAGCTCCAAGATGTGACCATCACAGCTCAGGACTATTGAGAGGAGCAAAGTGCCAGGACAAGGGGACTTAGGGACTGGGCTGCCCAAGGAGCTGACAGCCAGTGTCTTTCTTGGTGCCCTGGGTGGAGCCTTGGGCCCCAACCTCCCTGGCTGGCTCCTGGGGCTCCTTGCTCTTATCTGCAATGGGCAAGGCATGTGAGGAGAAAGACTGTAATTCTGGAACACAGAGGTCTCTCTCCTAACCAATCAGGATGAAGCAAGCCAGAGAAATTGATGTTGGGGAGATAGAAATTGGCTGATCCCAAAGCAATGTAAGCAAAAGCCTAGGCCAGAAGAGGAGCCAGATTCCCTCCTCCCAGCCTAGAGCATGGGACCCACCCCCCTTGAACAGATGGCTCAGCTGTGGGCAACATGTCAGGTATCTGGGTCCTTCCTCCACCAGAACAGGGCTGGGGGGGGCGGGGTCCCCTTGACTCAGGGCAGAACCATTCTGCACCCTCTCTCTGTCTACTCTGCCATAGGCAGCAGAATGGGACTGCTGTCCAAGGGGGAGGAGAGACACTGCTTACCTTCTGGGCGATCCCTGCTGTTGCACCTTTCCACAAGGTGGCTATCACCTCTCCCCAGCACACCCTGCCTCCGCATTTCATGAAAGTGGATCCTTTTCTGAGTGGGTAGCCTCCTCTCCTTAAAACTCAAGTGGAATGCAGTGAAGTGTCCTTTGATCTATGTGTCTTGATCTTCTCTGGCCTATGGCATTTTCTCCAGACCCCCTTGTGGTGAAATGCTCAAGACCGACCTAGCCTCAACCCACTTCCTCCGGCCACAAGGCCTTCTTGTCAATGACCCATTGACTCTTGCTTCTCGAGGAGTTGTGAGGTAGATAGCAGTTATTAACTGGGCAGCCCAGGCCTTGCTGATCACCTACCCACCAGGTCCCCAGCTTGCATGATAGACAGACCCCTCCTACTCTGCATTTTCCCTCCATCTAACCACGGGACTGGGCTATTCAGGCTGAGTAGGAAGTGGCAGGTCATCGCAGGTGCAAGGACCGGAAGGGGAAAGATGGAGCTCTGATTCCTGGAGCTCAGGACTCTCCAGAGGGATCATGTCTGTGAGTATGGACTCGTGCGTGCGCATGTGTGTTCGTGCCTTTGTGTGCACCTGTGCAGCTGTCTTGTTTTGGCATCCCATGATGACAAAGCAGCAAGGTGACAGTCAGGACGTGGAGCAAGGGCACACATTTTGAGAAGCCGTCTGCCGCCTGTGGCCTCATTGAGGTGCTCTTGAAGGCTGTCTGTGAGCCGAGCTGAAGGGGCTCTTAAAGCAAAGCTGCTCTGGAGGAAGGAGCAGGGTCACTGTGGAAAGACAAGCAGGAGGGGAGAGGCAAGAGGCAGCCCAGGGCAGGGAGGACAGGGGTGAGAGGAGATTCAGGTGGGCTGGGGCAGGAGAAAAAGAGTCCAAGAGTTAGCAGGTCCCCTGGGAACCAAGGTTAAGGTCTAAAACCCAGGCCTGGCAGGCACAGGCATGAGGGAAGGTCTCTTAATAACACATTGAGGAGACCACCAGAAAGGTCTTGCTCACATTCCCATCCCTTTCCCTAACCATCCTCACCCAGAGTTCTGAGCTTGTCTGCAAATGCAGTCACATGGCACAACTCCTGCAGGCATCAGGCTGCTGGGAGACGATGGAGGGGAAAGGACCAGCTGGCCAGGTGGTCCTCCTCCCAGGAGAAGGCTCCAGCAGGGCCTCCAACAACAGTCCACCATCCCAGCACAACAGAGATCCTGGGCCAGGGGTTGAAATGCACGGTGAGGCAGGAAATGACAGGATGTGAAATGACTCCAGGTAGGAGCCACTGGGCACAGAGGAGCAGAGCTGACCTGCTGCTGAAGATACCTCCATGTTCCTCTCTCCTTCCCTCCCCTCCCCCAAGGCATCTTAGAGTTCTCACCAGGAGCAAGCTCTTCTTTGTGTTTCAGTTAAATCTCCCATTTCCTAGAGGACCGCTTCTGAGGTCTTCAAGGGACTTGGAGCACAGCTAAGTCTCCAAGGTGCTATGAATTTAGGAGTGGGCTCCATAGGGGAGGAAGAAGCTCAGAAGGGTCCTGAACTTAGCAGAGTGCCGGTGGCTCACTCCTGTAGTCCTAGCTAGTCAGGAGGCAGAGATCAGGAGGATCGAGGTTTGAAGCCAGCCCAGGCAAATAGTTCTCGAGACCTATCTTGAAAAAAACCCATTACAAATAAAGGGCTGGTGGAGTGGCTCAAGGTGTAGGCCCTGAGTTCAAGTCCCAGTACCACAAGAAAGAAAAAAAGTCCTGAATCTAAAAGATAAGGGAAAGTGAGACCGTGCAGAATTTCCTTCCCAGTCAAGTGGCTGACTCAGATTGTTTTTATTTATCTTAGTCCAAGAAAGATTTATTGATCTACACAATGTGGTAGGTACTAAGAAACAGAACTTGGTTCCTTTGTCTACTGATAGCTCCATTTCAATGGAGTGAGACAAGCAATAAATGAGAAATCAAGTAGGTAAACAAATCATGTCACTTAGAAAACAGAGGTGGCCAGACGTGTGGCTTATACCTGTAATCCCAGCTACTTGAGAGGTGAGGATGAGGAGGACGGAGATTGGAGGCTAGTCTGAGCAACAAATTAGTGAGACTGCGTCTGAACTAATAAAAAGCTGGGGTGATGGTTGGGACATGCCTGTCATCCCAGCTACATGAAAAGATCTCAGTTCCTGCTGGCCTGAGCAAAAAAACGAGACCCTTTCTGAAAAATGAGTAAAGTAAAAAGAACTGGGGGTGTGCTCAAGCATTAGAGAGACTACCTAGCAAGTGCAAGGCCCTGAGTTCAAACCTCAGTATTGCCAAAAAAAGGGAAAAGAAAAGAAACAAAGAAAAAGCAATAAGATAGAAAATGAATGGTGAAGGGGAGAACCGCTTTATCTGGGGAGGTCAGGAAAGAGTTCTCCAGGAAATGAGATCTGATAATGGTTTCAGCCAGCCATGTAGAGTTCTAGAGGAAGAGCATTCCAGGAGGAGACACAGCTGGTGCCAATACCCTAGAGTAGGAATAGGCTGAACATGTTTGAGGGAGAAAGTGATTGATGCTGAGATCAGACACCAGCAGGACTAGCTCATGCAGGGTCTCACAGGCCCTGGCCACATTACAAAGGAGTCCAGATTTTGTTCAAAGGCAAAGGGAAGGCATGGGGGACGGTGGTTAAGCAAGGGTTTAAGTCTTTTGGTAAGATCACGCTCACGGCTGTGTGGAGAAGGGATCACAGAGAGGTGGGATGAGAAGAAGAGGGATGCTGCATTAGGCCAAGCAGGAGAGGTGTTGGCTGGGCCACTGGAACCAATGGTGGAGGTGGAGAAAGATGGACAGATTTATGGAGTGCTGGAACCAGGATCTGCAGAGCTTGGATGGAGCAGGGGAAATGACAGCCATTAGTGGAGAGTGTGCCTTGACAAGAGGCTGTCCCAAGAAGGGCAGGCTTTGGGAGGGAAGCCCAGTGTTTGGTTTTGAACATGTTCAGTTTGCAATGCCCATGCAAATTTCCCAGTTCTGCAAAGAACACAGAACTTGCCGTGCAGGAGCTAATGGTCCCCTTCTGAGGTGGAACCCATGGGGGGGAACCTGCTGTGTGCCCTACTCCTCCATTTCTGCCCAAGGAACCTCAAAACATGACATTTCTTTTCTTTGTGTGTGTGTGCATGGTAGCAGGGTTTGAACTCAGGACCTCCCACTTGCTAGGCAGGCATTCTACCACTTGAGCCACACCTCCATCCCCTGTGCCTTAGGTTATTTTTCAGATAGGGTCTTGCTTTTTGCCCTAGAGTTGGCCTTGGGTGTGATCCTCCTACCTATGCCTCCTCCACAGTTGGTACTCCAGACATATACCTCCATATCTGGCTTGTTGCTTGATATGGGGGTCTCACTAACTTCTTGCCCCCAACTAGCCTTGATCCTCAATCCTCCCAATCTCTGCCTCCCAAGTAGCTGGGATTGCAGGTGTGAGCCACTGTGCCTGGCCATAAAAAACTGACTTTCATTGGAGCAGAATTAAGCCCTACCTCTCTGGACTCCTTAGGTTAGATTCTATGATTGTAGATCCCCTCCCATTTTGGAAAAATCACATGATTTCATGAGACTTGACTCTGAGCGACTGAGAAGAAGAGTAGAGTGTTATTATAAGCTCAAATCACAGACACCAGCAAGACTAACTGTGACCTCTTTGACCACCCACCAATGAGGGGGTCAAATAAGCTTCCTTAAATTCCCCGAATCTGATCATTCTGTGTCCTTTTGACAATGTTCCTTCACTCAGTCTGTTTCTATAGGTGAGAGAAATCTACCACAGCCTTATTAGGAAATAGCAGGTGAACAGCAGGGAGAGAAAGGTGATCTGGATGAGGGGGGGCCCACCTGTGCTGGAGCCAACCACATGCCTCACTTGCTGAAGGTGGGCATGTCTGTGTCTCTCATCTTTGTCATGAACCAACAAGTGGGTCCACCTGTCCCATTCTCATCCACCCCTTTCAGCCCCCAGGACCTTGAAGCAACAAAGAAGTTCCCAAAGAACTCAGCTGTTCGCACATCATGGGACCAGTTCCAGCAGGCTGGCCGGGACCCACAAAGCCTCCTGGGCCTCTCAGGGAGGGGAGAGACCTTATCTGCAAACTTGGATTAGCTCTAGAACCACACTGTCTCATGTGGTAGCCTCCAACAGTATGTGGCTATTTCTATGTTAATTGAATAATTCAGGCCCTCTGTCTCACCCAGCCACACTTCAAGTACTCAGCAGCTACTGGTGGCTCATGGCTACGGTTTGGGACAGCACAGAGATGGGACATCTCCATTGCCTTAGAAGGCTAAGTCACACAGGGATGCTTCAGAACAGGGGTTCCCAAAATATAGTGCTGGGAACTGCTGCAGCATCACCTGGGAACACTAGAAATACAGATTCAAAAGCCCCACCTCTCCTCCTGCATGAGAAATACTGCTTGTGAGTTTTTGTTTTGTTCCAGTATTGACATTTGAACTCAGGGTCTTGCACTTGCTCAGTAGGTGCTCTACCACTTGAGCCACACCCCCAGCTCTGCCTGTAGGGTTCTAAGCAACCCTCCAGGGGGTGGGGTGCTCACCAGAGTTTCAAAACCAAGGCTCCTGACCAGAATAATGGGCTCACCCATGATCTCACCTGAGCCTCAGCAATGGTGTACTCATTTTGTCTTTCAAGGCTAACTGTAATCATGACTCATTTTACAACTGAGGAAACCAATTCAGACTGCTACCCTGGAATAACCAGTCCTAGAACTCTGGCCCTTGACCTTGCCCATCAAACCTCTCTAGCCAGGCTCATTCCAGAATGAAGGAAGAAATGAGGCAATTTGTACCTCTGTGCCACACTGGGACTCCAGTGCATTGTGGAGTGCATCTTTCTGTCCTCATATCAGAAAGATGGCCCTGGAAATCTTTCCCAAGGTCAAGGGTACGGACTCACTTTAGAACTTCTCTTGCACGTGGGATAATGGTTGAGAACACAAGCCCATGGGTTCATTTTACAGAGGAGAAAACTGAAGCCCAGCTTGGGAGAGAGGCTTGCCCTGTCCTGCAGCCCCTTCCTGCCTCCCAGGACTCACCCAGGTACAGAGGGTAGAGAGGATATGAGCCCATACCTTAGAGCCAGAGGGACCCAGGCCAGAACAAGGCCCTGGTTCTCCTGGTTCTGTCACTTCCAAGCTGGTGACTTGGGCAAGCCATGAGATCTCTGTACGGCCTGCGTTTCCTCCACTTGTGAAATTCGAATAATAATAGTATCAGCTTGCCAGAGGACTTAAAAGCTCACACACATGGAAGGTGCCTACCACATCCAAAGCAACCAACCAGACACTAAGACACTGGCCTACTTTTAGCATTCTTTTTCTGTCCAGCGTAACCTGCCTTTTCTCTTTATTCTTTGGCCCTAAGTTTTCCTGGAGCTCTTTGTCCCAGATTTCTCTTAGTGTGGGAGCGCCCACCGGGGTTCTCCCAGCGTATTTGAGAATCAAAGGAGCAGGGTGGCCCTGTGAGCAGAGACATCAAAGAGTAACATTTGCATGCTAATGGTGGCTTAACCTTTCCTGTAAAGTGCCTGCACACTGGCTGAATCTGGCCATGACTTTCAGAAAGGAGAGTGAGAAGAAATGGGTGTAAAACACGGTGTTCCATGAGGACTAAGATCTTAGAAGCGCTACACATTGTTGGGCCCACAAGGGCCCCTAGTTCACCCCGTGATCTTGCACAAATGACCTGGTCCCTTGGCCTGGTTTTGCATCAGTGGGAAAGGGACAGAGTTGTGCCCAGTCCCTGCCTTGAGCTCCCAGGGACCTGCAGGTAACTCTGTCTGTCATGCTGTCTGGCCTGGGAGCCCCATCTCTCTTGTGGCAGACAGAAGGGCCAGCCTGGCTTCTCCTCTCCCGCCAGCCCTCCCACTCCCACTCCCAGAGCCTGGGATTCGCACTCTGCGTCTGACTCAGCTCCATCCGCTCCGCCAGCCGGGTGCTATCTTTCCCTTGGCGCCTGCTGACGCACCTCCTCTCTCTCTAACTTGCTTCTATTTTCTTCTCTCACTGTCTCTTCCCTCCCACCACCCCCTCCCCAAAACACATGCCTGCCCTTGCCCTCCTCTTCCTGCCTCCCTGCAGCAGTGGGCGTCCAAATGCGGGTGGACTTCCTCCAGCGCCAGTTCTGGGCAGCCACAAGGCAGGTAGGTGACGTGTGGGCCAGGCCAGAGTTACAGGACTCCATGTGCTGCCACGTGAGGAGGGCCCCTACCCACTGTGCCTCACCACCACCTCGCCCAGCCAGTGGGTGCTGTCCCAGAGCCTGCTCCCTATGCTCCCCTGAGCCTCTATCTCTGGTCCCCAGCCCTCCCATCCATGCTCACTCCCCATCAGATCCAGTGACAAAAGGCAAGACAGGGGGACCCCTGGGCCACAGCTGCCGCCCAGCCCTGCTCACAGCAGCCTCCCTTCCAATGCTCAGGCCCTGACTGCTGTCCAGCAAGAGCTGTACCTTATCTACATCCTTCTGCCCCTGCCCTCACCCTCATTCCCCCAGAACCCTCAGCCTCAGCTCTCACTTCCCAGGGGCCCTCACTGCCCTCCACACAGCCTCAGTCTACCCCATAGTGAGCAGCCTCTTCTTTTCCTCCATGTCCAAACACTGTCTGCCCACCCTTACTTTAACCAGGTCCAGGGAGCCCAGGAATGAAAGGAGAGGAATGGGAGGGCAAAGGGGACCCCTATTGACTGGGGCAAGCCCTGAAGCTATCCCAGGAGGCATCTGATGGTGGACCCGCTGTGCCTGGCAGGCTGCCAGCCAGCAAGGGTCTGCTGCTCAGCCCCCTAACCCACTGAGGCACACCTCACACATGCACACATGCTATCTGCCTGTCACACACACAACACACACACCCCATACATGCCCAGGTACACCTCCACACACAACACACATATCACACACGTACACATCCAGACGCACACAACACATACCCACTACATGTGTACCACACACACAGTGCACTCACACACTCCACATTCACACCACACGTAGACCCTCCACATGTAACATGCACTCCACATACACACCACACACTGCACACAAGCAGACATATAACCCACACATAAACACGATCCACACAGGCGCACACTCCACACTCACACCACACGTGTACTGTAAGCACACGTGTATCCACCACTCCCCACATTCTCATACACACCACAAATGTACCACACGTTACACACTCGTAACGCATCTGCCATGCTCACACACATACATGAAAGCTCACCAAATACACGCCTCACACACACACACACACACACACACACACGCTCGGGCACACACCACTTACAACTGCTGTTCTTCATTCCAGTGCAGTGCTGTGGAGGGGCCGTGCCCGAAGAGCTGTGAGGACAGTGTAAGCTCTTCCCATGTGAAGAGAAGGGTTGAGGTGCAGCCCCCAATCCACCCCCTCCCACAGGCTTTCCCAAATGTCCCCTTCCCTCCCCTGTCTTGCTGGGCTCCACAGGGAACATCTTTTCACCCTACTGAGGCCCACCTTCCCAAGAGGACCAGGGGTCAGTGATCAGACCCTGGCCATGACCTCCTTTCCCGGCATTTTCCTCAGGATTTGGACTGCTTTGTCACAGACAACAATGGCTTCATTCTGATCTCAGAGAGGTCCCAAGAGGTAAGTGACCAGGGAAGATAGAATGGGGAGAAAGGACAGGACGTCAAGGCCTCCCGCAGCCACTCGGGCAGAAGTGAGGGCTAAAGGCTGCGGTGCTAACCCTGCCTTGGAGCAAATTCAAGTAAAAGTCTGAAAAGAGTGGTTTTCCTGAATCCAAAGTCAACACAGCTAGATTACAAAACTTGGAACCCTTTCCCACTTAGGTGATCAGAGAAAATAAGACTTCCTTATTTTGTCTGTAAGTAACCTGGCCTCTCCCATGGACCACACACAGGTGTGCCTGACCACACTGCACCCGTGTTTCAGAATGCCTGGTTGGCCTGAGCTTCAGGGAGCAGTCCCAAGTCCTGAGCACACCTACTAATCACGTCTCACTCCCCCCAGCCCTCCTCCTACCCCTTCTACCATATGGGCACAGAGGGGCCGGGCATCCCCACCCTGTGTCCCTCTCCTTTCCAGACCTCCTCATGAAAAATTCCATTCTAGCAGCAAGTCCAGCCCCCCATATTCTGGCTACCCTCTGGCAGGTTGATATCTCCTGGACTCGGCTTGTGCTCAAAGGCAAAAGAGAGAGTTACAATGATAACTTTATATTTGCTGAGCCCCAAACTAGGTCCTAAAACCAATTATTTAAGCAGGAACCATACTAAAAAAGAACCTGAACCAAACTTGAGAATTTTCACCTAAACCATTTCCTTGAAGCAAGCCCAGAAGGGTAGCCCAAGCCTCCAGCCAGAACCTCAGGTGAGGTTTGACCTGTGTTTGGCTCGGCATGGGCTTTGCCGTTAATTAGATATGTGACTTGGTCAAGCATCCTCCACGGCCCACTTTCTTCCCCCTGAAAATCAGGGGATGGAACACATGAGGTCTAACTCACTCAAACCTGAAACTCTAGACGTCCAGATGTTGGCAGAGTGGGCTCAGTGCCCACCCTGACTGGATAGTGGTCAAGGCTATTTCTGCCCCACAAGGCAGTGACCAGAGTGGGGCTGAGGGTTCAAAGTCGTCAGAATATGGCAGAAAGCAGGGCCCAGGCCTTGGAAGGAGAGTAGAGACTGATGGCAACTGAACAAGAAGAAGCACTAAAGGATCATGGATGCCCAGAGAACGGCTTTTAACTTAACTTACAACATGTCTCAGCAGATTAGTGTAGAGAAGGTATTTCACTCATTTTCCTCCTCCTAAAAGTGGGCCCTGGCCGACAATCTAGATGCTTTGAGGAGGAACTCCAGCCACTCATGGTTGTTATGGTCACCGGGGCCCCTGTCTCTCTTTGTCCCCTTTTCCCTTTCACGCCCCATTTGGACACATTGCTTGACGTTAGACAGAGCCAGTCTGTTCAGTACTTCTCATTTGCTCTGGCAGAAAAGTGGGTGATGACAGAAGTTGACCCCCTGACTGGAAAGAGGCTTGGGGACACTCTGCTGTCTTCAGCCACTAGTGCCCTGCTCCTCACTGCCTGCATGACAGAGATTGGTTGTGGGTCCCAGTCTCCTCTAAGGGCCTGAGGGCAGGAGGCATCCCAGTGCCAGACCTCCTCACCCCCACTCCTGGGCTTTTGTGTAACCCAAGGACTACTTTGGTCCTGTTCTACCCGGACCACATCTGCTCACATCTTTACGAATTGTGATAGCACTGGGAACAACCTCGGATAAGGGAGACCAAGTGGGAGACTGCTGGTTTTCACGGACTTGAGCATTTGTAGGGCAGGGTTAATGACCTTGACAGCTTGGCCTGGCCTGGAGGTTGTGACAGGTTCCAAGTCCCCATCTTCCGAATGGTCAGCCTCCTGTCCTGATCCCCAGCCCAGATCAGACTTCATTCATTTCGCTGACTTGACTGAGTCTCATAAAGTTAGGACCAATGCCGCCACAACCCTGAAAGCCAAGGGCCAAGATTCTTGACCCCTGGGTTAGGTTCAAAGACTTGTGTCGAGGCTGATGAACAGCAGTAACTTGACAAGGCTCAGCTCCTCTTTTCTCACTCTGGACAACTCTGCCCCTGGAGCCGAGCACAGTGCCTGACACATGGCAGACAACAACTGTGCAAGGGGCTGACCTGGCCTCAGTGTGAGCAAGCGCAGTGGAAAGCCTAGTGCTAATGCTGCTTGCTCCGCTGTCTGTCCATCTGCCCATCCATCATCCATTTGTCCATTTTTGCTTTTAAAAAACTCATCCATTCAACACCTCTGCAGCAGAGTAGCTACAGAGATACTGTTATGTATCTGCATGACGCACCCCAAAATTACTGGCATGAGCCCAAGGTAACGGGAGTGAAATGGAGCCCACAGTCTCTTCAATCCTGATCTCAGCAGTGACGCTCCATGGCTTTACCAAATTCCATAGGGTAGAGCCAGTTGCTAGGTCCAACCTGTACTCAACAGGAGGGACTTACACAGGACGCCACTACCTGGAGTCTGCAGTGACTGTGAACTATACACTCCTACCCACCTAATCAACTTGTCCCCTCTCTCCCTCCCGCCTTCCCATACACACGTGTGCTGTCAGTCAAGGGCAACACAGTCTGGCCTGGCCCGTCCTCAATGCATTCAGTCTCACTGTTCTACCCCTTATCCCTGAAACTCAGAATGTGGTTGGAGGGCTGGGCATCAGTGCCTGGGAGCTTGTTGTAGGCCCACCCACTCATAACCCCTGGGGGCAGCCTCCCAGATGATGGGGTAGGGGAGTGGAGGAAGGGAGGTTTCAGAACTGCTGCCTAGGACTTAGTGCTGGTCGCTGGGATCCAGATGCACTTCCTGGCTGGGTAAGGTTCTGGCTGCTCCTTGCCCCTCTTCAGGTTCACCCAAGGGTCTGGGGAACAAAGCCTGCTGCTGCACCATATGGAAAGATTCTTCCCAAAACCCTGCCGTGCCCCTCCTCACTCCAGGCCCTCCACCCTGGTGGGTTCCAGGCTACAGATTACCCATGGAATCCCTAGGCCTCTCCCAGTTCAGGGAACTGGGAGAGTTCTGTTAGGTAAAGAACTAGGAATGACAGGATTATAGTCAGTCCTCAATTTGGGGACTATAAGTAAACACAGAGAGCTATGGTCAGGACAGTGGCAGAGGCCTGTGGAGCACTGTAATATCTCCAATAGAAATGTCAGCCTGGCTCTGGAGAATCCAATTTCTGTCATTTGCTTGTGGGTAGCTCCACCTGTGGAGTTTCAAAACCGTCTTCACAAGATGCAGCAAAGCCCAGACAACTAGCATCTTCTCGAGCTTGGTCAAGGCCATGCCTGTGCTGGGCCTGGCTCCCCTCCTTCCCTATGTCCCAGCGGCAGCTCTCCCTCGTCCCTCTGAGCTTCCAGAATGTGAGCTTCAGTAAGAAAATCTACCAGGTCACCAGAACCCTAGGGCCACTGCCCAGGCAGAGGCAGCTCTCTAGGTGGCTTTCCCAGGCTGGCCACATTCCACATTCTTCCCAGCACCCCCTTTGTGGCCAAAGGCACCTGTCAAGAGACTCCATAGCTCAGCTCTGGGCACCAGCTGAGAAAGGAATGAAAAGAAATTCATTCTCGCTAGGAACCAGGCACAATGACTTCACAGGCAAGGACTCATTTAATCTCATACCCTTAAGAGAATGAGTGTCCCTTTCTTAGAGAAGAAGAAATTGAGGCTGTCTCTGGGTAAGGAGGCCATGTGGCATTTGTCCCATTCTATTACCAGAGTTGAGAGCACCCCTTCTGTCTGGGGACAGAGGATATTTGAGCTGCAGCCTTGAGCTATACACCCCATACACCCCAGGCAAATTAACCAGAGCACCCAACCAGAAGGAATCTAATTAGTTCTGAGTTCTTTGCTGCCTGGAGCCCATTTGCTCCCCCTCCAGGCTCCTGGGTGGTCCTCACAGGACCTTGCCTTCCTCCCAAATTCATTGCACACTAAACTCAGGGAGCCCAGCCAACCCACGAACCCTTGCTTATGTGTCCCCCGCAAAAGAGGTGCCATACGGCAGCAAACCTCTCCATAGTGCTGAGCTGTGTGTGCAGCACCACGTTAAGTCTGGGGTCCTAATTTGACAAGGGACCCAAAGTCCATGTTTGGACTTTGACTTTGCAGGTTCAGAAATTCAATCTGAGGTACTAACTCTGACAAAGGTCAAAAGAAACTACATGAGCTAGGAATTATGTTCTCTACAAATAGGGGTCCCTACTACAGTCATTAAACAAGCCACAGGTTGATTCTCTCATAGAAGAGTGGGTCAAGGCAGCCCAGGCCTAGCATGGCTTTCTGAAGTCACCAGGTATCCCCATCCTCAAGATGACAACATAGTTAGCAGATCTCCTGCCTTCTAATCCACTTTCCAGAGAAAGGGGAGGACTACAGAGGATTGGGGGGCGGAGGGTGGGGAGGCCTGTCTTTAGCTGAGTCTTTCCCTTTAAGCAAATTCCCAGAAGTCCTTACCTATGGCTTTTCTCAAACTTCATTGGCCAGTTCTTGTCACAGGGGCTTCTGGGAAATGTAGTCTCTTTAAATAGAGCACATTGCTGCCATTGTTAAAGTAAGGTTGCCTTATTAAAGGAGGAGAGAGGGGATGTTTTCTGCTGAGTAACGTAGTCTAGAAAATGGAGTTGTTTATTTGCAGAGGAGGATGATGTTTTTTTCCAGTGTTTAGGATAAATAGATAGAAGGGACCTCCCTTCTCAGAAGCAAGTGTGTGAACAACAGGGCAGTTGGTGAATATGCCTGCAATTAGTTAAGAGAATGAAACAGGCTTGTAGGAACTTGGGCCCACATTGCCCAAAGGTTGATATTCACCCCACATCCCTGTCCTAGGGAGAGAAGTCTCAGTCATTCATTCATTCCCTCATACATTACTTCAGCAAATATGGAGACTAACTGAAACCAAAGTTTTGGACTCCAGGCTGTTCCACTTGGCTGGTCTGGCCACTCACCCCTATACAGCAAATAAAGAGACATGGCAAAGTCAGAGAAAGGAGATTTATTCCATGGCCAGGAAATGCTGTGGGAAGAGGCAGGCACTCAGCCCATCTTCAGGATACAGATATGAGCTTTAAATTGAAATAGACAAAGAACTACAAAAGTTATGCATAGCTAAACAGTCTCAGTCACGGGTGTGGCCTTATTCTTGGGGTTCCAGAAGTTAATATCCAGAGTCACCTGGCAGCTGGTCCATCTTGAGGAGGCTCTACTGTGAGAGGTAATTTCTTTCCCTTGTCATAAAGATGTTATCAATTCTGTCCTTCCTGGAATCCAAGATGATTGCAAAGTGACTGGAAAGAGAATGGCTTAGAGCAAAAACAGATGCAAAATGAAGGCAGGGATGCCTTGCTAGCTCCTCCTTTTAGGTAATTTGTGGCCCTGAGTAAGGAGTCGTTGCTTTTCAGCAAAACCAGTTTAAGTACCTCTTACATAACCATGAACACTACACTGTGTGGGCTGGGGGACAGGGCAGAGACAAGTCCCATAAATAGGGTCTGACTAGGATGGAGAAACAAGGAACACACAGTTCTTGGAACAGCAAAGAGCCAACCCAGTTGAGAGGGGTCACTCAAGTTTCAGAGATGGGGAGAACTTCCTGTGGCTTTAGGGCTGGGCCTTGAAGAATAGCAGGTTAGGTGCCTCTCACTTTCCTGTGTGCTTTTCTGTCCTTGCCATGCCCTTGACTCCTCTTATTACTGGATGAGGGATGAGGGGGCTCCCACAGCTTCCCAGTTTCCACCCAAAATCACAGGTACTTGAAATCTACACGTGAAAAGCATTTCAAGATGTCTCACAACAAGGAAATCTCACAAGGTGGACATTTCAGCAAGGATTTATTTTGGTGTAATAAGGAAAAGTAAGCATGGAGGAAAGGAAGAAACAATTCCTGCTCCCCACACAAGAAACAGGAGAAAAGACTCCAAGTGGTGCTTGTATCTGTGGTTGTATACTTTCTGAGCTGAGGGAACACTCTGATGGCCAAATCTAGCCACCTCTAATCACTAAGACAAGATGGGGGCTAAAACAGGAAGAGGTCGTCCAGGCCTAGCCAAAACACAGACAATAGGTGAGTTTTAGGACTTCCCTTTGCTAGACAAGCCTTTCATTCTTTCTGTCCCTCTGCCCCTCCAAGGAGTCTTGCAGCATCTTAACATCTCAAAGAGGGAGGCAGAGGGCAGGGAGCTCCTTTATGTCTCCCTCTTCTTATAACTTAATGTCTAAAGTGAGGTGGGAGGGTGGCTAGCTGCTCTAGGTTTTCAGTTTTTCCCTTCTTGCTCCTATGTCTGAGTCTGAGAGCTGGTGGGGTGGCTCAAGTGGTAGAGTGTCTGCCTAGCAAGCATGAAGCCAAGTTCAAACCCTAGTATTTAAAAAAAAATATATATATATATATATATATACGACCAATTATTGTTTCCCTGTCTCCTCACCTATCTATCCTGCCTCACTCTGATGACCTGCTCCATCCACTGCCTCTGCAGAGACACCTGTTCCTGTCAGGCCACCATTGGAGGCACTGGCCATCAGACTGTCCTGTGTTATGGCGAATGTGTTCCTCTCTATCTGTCCAAACTGTCTAAAGCTCTTGATGACTGTCCTGTGTATGTCATTTGTTTTTGCATTGTACTCACTTCATGTCTTGTGAATAAGATGTGGGGAACTCAGGCAAAGCAACAGCAGAGCTTGGCCAAGTCTGCATGCCTCTGGCCCCAAATCTGGTTTTTCTCCAATTTGCTTTTGTCATTGACCTGTCAGCTTCTGAAGTTACAGTTCTGCCACACGTGTTTAGTAGACTGCATCCTGACATTCTAATTTTGTAAGTGAGCTATTTCCAAATGAGAAATAGTACTGGATGCAGGCAGTATATTTTCTTCTTTAATTCCAGTTTGGGAAGTGATAGTTCCTGACTTTAGCCCAGATTCCAAAGTCAGGGACATTTGGAGGCCTTTGGTCCCCATTTGCTGACTGTACCGCATGGCAATATAAACCTAGGTAGCATCCCCAGGGTTACTACCTAATATGGTACCATCGCCTCTCACTTGGAAGAGAACTTCTCTGATTGTTGACTGAGTATCCAGGACTGACCTTGGTTGGAATAAATCGAGTTCCTCAAGAAGGGTCCCTGGAGTCCACTCAACTGTGACAGTGGATTTGGGGAGCTGCAGTTAGTAAAAGAGTTTACTGAGATGGAGAGTGGAGAAAGCAAAGATTCATTAAGGCACCATTCAAAAGGGAGACAGTGACAGCTGGCTACGTAAAGGAGCATAGTGTGCCAACATAGATCTGGGAGTAAGTTTTATACTTCTGGGTAGGCTACCTTTGATTGGCTGTCTCCGTTTTTGTGGACCTTACTAATTGGTTGTCCCTTCCTGAGACCGTGATTTGAATTTTGATGGCAGGGGAACATCTCTTTGTGCTTGGCTATTGCTTCTGCATTCCATCTGGGCCCACCATTGGGCCATCCACCCCCCACATTCCATCTGTTCCTTGGTATTCCTTATAATTCCTTGGTCTTCTTATAATGGAGGCCTCCTCCACAAGCTGCCCAGAGTAGCAGGCTTTCCTGAAGTCAGCCAGACCTCTTTGCTTGCGCTTGTGTGCTAGAGCAATGTTTCTTCCACTGGTAGTCCTGGCCCTGGTCATTGCTTTAGGCTTTTCATAGAGCATGGGGGAGACTCCCCAGGTATAGGGTTTCTGCCCTTCCCGCTGTTGACCCTCTGTTGATTTCTCCTCTGAGCCTTCTCCCATCACCTGTGGTCGAGGTTGTACCACATAGATGTGCTCCCCCAAGCCAGAGGCCTTTGGAAAGGTGGCTCCAGACCTGGTGCTAAGAAAGCGCTCTATGAAGAACCTGATATAACTATTGGCTCAGGCTTCCACTTCTCTTCCCTGCCCAAGTTCCATGCTGGCTAGGTACAGGTAGCGATGCACATTGGAGAATTCAGAGATGAGTAAGAGTTGGTCCCTGTTCTCAAGCAGTTTTCCACACAGTGGGACATGAGAAAACTTACGTATAACCAGGTAGGATGACAACAGGACCAAAGGGACATGCAACCACACACGTTCAGAGCACAGAGAAAGGAAAGCTTGTTGGTGTGAGGACTGAGGAAGGGTATAAGCAGGGAGAACAGCCCGACCACACAGGGCAGCTTGTAATAATGGCTGCCATTTACCAGGCTGGATGCCATGAGTTTGACACACATTATCCTTAATCTTCAAAATAACCTAAATTCAAATCTAAATCTGACACCAAAGACCCCAAGTCTACCTTGCCACGTGTGAAAACAGCAGAACCTAGAGGCCAGGGAAGGTCCACAGCCATTGGTGGGAGTGGGCTGGGAAGAGCAGTCAGAGGCTAGGTGTCAGCCAGCAAGAATGCAAGGGCTTTGCTGCTTTGGAGGAGGCAGTCAGGCACACAGTCACAGGTGCCCCTACGTATTGTTGACTGGATCATGAAAGGCGGGAGGGACAATAGGAAGGAGGATCCTGTTTACGTTTCTTTGGAAATAACAAAGAGTGTGACCAAATCCAAGCTGTCTGAGATTTTGGTGACAACCATGGGGACTTTGAAAAGGGTGTGGGGGGATGGGGGGCTGTGAGAGAGGCCAGTCAGGGAAGGCCACATCTGTAGTGTAGAGTCAGGGAGGTGACGGGGGGGGGGGGGGGGGGGGGGGGGGGGGGGGGGGGGGCGGGGTGGGGGAGGAACAAAGACAAGGCCAGAGCTCCCCACCCTCTGGCTGGATGAGGAGGTGACCAGCATGGGTGAGACACTGCTTTGCCTCTTTCTGATCATGACCTGCAGAAAAACCTTGCTTTACATCCACCCCTCCACTCCCCACAAAACACACACACCAAACCAAGTTTCACAATTGCTCCCTTCACCTCACTGCAAGCCTTGATTCACACTGAGCTGTTCTAAGGAATTCTGGGATGTTTTTAAAAATCCTGTTCCCTCTCGGCTGACTCCACAGCCAACTGCCAAGATAGTTCAGAAAGCTCTGGGAGGGTGATGGGGGGGGTGGGCACTGGGGCGCAGGTGTGCAGAGTGGCTCCACCAAAGGGCATCTCCTGGGAGAAGCCACAGCAACTTGGTGTTTACCTGCTCTCTCCTTCTCCCTCTCTCCCTCCTTCCCAGGCAGGACGATTTCTGGGGGAGGTGGACGGTGCCCTCATGACCCAGCTGCTCAGCATGGGGGTGTTCAGCCAGTAAGTGGACTTCCTTTTCCCCAGTCCCTATGGGCTCTGACAGACGTCATGTGCTGGCCTTAGAAGCCATTCATGGAAACACCAGACCCCAAAAGTAGCCAGGAACTGAACCACCAGACCAGGATGGGGGGCGGGGGTGGCAAAGCGCTGTGGACATCCCTGGGAGGGACTCCCTAGCACCCCTCCCCCCAGCCTTCACTGGAAAGCCACCAGCTAAAATGCAGGCCACTTGTGCCCTTCATATGTTGAAGTCATTCATGTGCATGGCGCACCATTTGCATATGAGCTGTCTTCTGATCTGGGGAGCAGCAAGCCTGCCAGCCATGCCCCTAGGCAGAGGTAGGGCATGAGGGTGGTCTTGACCTCACCACACCGTTTCTGATTTTGCAGAGTGACTATGTATGACTACCAGGCCATGTGCAAACCTCCGGATCACCACCACAGCGCTGCCCAGCCCCTGGCCAGCGTGAGTGTCACTCTAGGCCTTCCCTCCACCAGATACACATCCTCTGCCCTGTCCTCTGAATAGGTCGCCTGGTCCCCATTCTCACTCAGCCTTGGGTGTTCTGGTCCCAGGGTCAGTCTTGACTCTGTCCAATTCTAGCTGGCATCCTGCTCTGATGCTCAGCCCAGCCCACGCAAGATGGAGCTGGCAAGATGACGGGTCCTCAGGCAGAGAGGTTACCCTAACCTCACCTCCCACAATGCCACACGGATGGTCGGGGGTCCTCAGCATCTGGGCCTACAGGATGGGAGTTGACCCAACTTGTGGAAGTGCATGTGACATACAGAAGGCGGCAGGTACAGGTCAGGAAGGCAGCCTGAGTAGTGGCCTGTCCTGTCCGAGGGCCTTCTGAGAAGGTGGCTCTGCTCTCTCCTCTGCAGCCTCTATCTGCCTTCCTGACAGTGGCCAGGTGGCTGATGCATGAGCTCCTGCTGTGAGTAGGGTTGGAGGTGGGGGAGGACTTCCTGTGGTGGGCACCTGGGGCCTCCACACACCACACTTCCTGCCAGGCTCCAGGGACGGAGAGCGAAGCCTGGAGTGCTGGACCCCCTCTCAACCCCCCCTGCCTCTGGGAGAGCCCCTGCTCACCTGAGCTCTCTAGCATGAAGATGGGTCCTGGGGTTCACTGGGGTTGTCAGCCCCCTCGGGAGCCAGGTGGGTGATGTGGCAGAGATTCAGTTCCATGTCCTGCAGGTGCCTGTTGGAGTGGAGTGCCTGGGGCTCCTGGCGTGAACCAGGGGCTGAGGGTGAGTATGGGAACCACAGGGTGGGTGCGTTTGCTCAGTTTATTGGAAAACTTTCCCAGGGGTGGGTGATGGTGGGGTGCAGGGGGGCACTTGAGGTGTTCATTGCTCATAATCTCATCCTGCTGGTCCTCTCTCTTCACCTCCCCTCCGGCCCCTCACCTCTGTGTCTGACATCACATCACCTTGGGACACCTTCACTCCATGTGACATCATCACCACCCTGTATCACCCCTGCCCTTGTGTGACTCCATGCTCTTCCTATGTGATGTCCACCTTGTGCCGGGCTCATGTCCTGGGCAGCCAAAGCTGTCTTCCATCATTGTAAGTAGCATCAGCTGGCCATAGTGCATTGGGGAGCTGCAAAGGACCTGCCCTCCACTCTGCATCCTAGCAATAAGCCCAAGTTGGGGTGTATCGTTTTCATCCTGAGACACCCCTGGCTTGGGGGACCCCAAGTCCCCCATCTGGCTTAAAGCACCACGCCTGAAGGGCACGGGTACCCAGATCCCATTCCATGAAAGCACAGTCCTGCCCCAGGGAACATAAGGAGCCCAGCCGTCTCTTCGGGTGACAGTGAACTAAAGGGCATCACCCCACCATCCACCAGGGAGCCCCAAGCAAGAGCTGTCCCTGGGGTTAGGCGGCCTTAGACTGCCACTCTGTGGGAGAAGCTCGGCCCAGCTGGATGTGGGGCAGGAGTGCTGGCTGGCCAGGGCTGCACCTGCCTAGCATTTGAGCTCCTGAGAAGGTAGACACAGGTGTGTCCACAAGGAAGGAAATGGGTCATGGGTTGATGGAGCTAATGTCCCCTCACCAAGCAGTCCTTCTCCCTGCACGATCCTCTCAGACACACGAGGCGTCCAAGCCGGAAGGAGCCTTTGGGATGAGACACTTCTCACCCCTGGCCTACAATGACACTATGGGTTCCAAACAGAGGAAGTGGTTTCCCCCAGTTAGGTTATGTGACCTGCACACACTAGAGACCCACAGCCCCTGACCCCGGCTGCTACTATGTTCTCTGCTCTTCCCACTCCTGCCCTGTTCTGAGGACTTTTTTTCTGACGTGGGGCAGCAACCCAGAGGGCAAGGGGCCTCCCAATGTGTGGTGAAGTGTGGAGGCCATGATGGCTGCCTGCTGGGTGATGCCCTTCCTTAGTCACATGCTTCTGTTCCCTGCAGCCCACAAGCACAAGAAGCAGGACCTGCTATACCCCTGTGACACAGAGTACCCCGTGTTCGTGCACCAGACGGCCATCCAGGAAGCCAATGGGATCATCGAGTGTGGGACCTGCCAGAAGTAAGACACAAGGCTATCAGCCTGTCCCCAGCCTAGGGGTGTACTCTTCCCACTCCTGGCAGGACAGCCATCTAGTCAGGGCCTTGCCATGCACAGAGAGGTCTTCATGGAAGGAAAGGAAGGGAACGGTCCCACTCCCAGATTCTGTCTTCCCCTTTCCTGGCTGCGGGAAACCCAGGCTGAGGCTGAAGGAATGCGGTGAAGGCAGTGTGGGATGTGGGTGGTTCATTAGGGGGAATGGGGACCAGGGGCCAGGTCCCATGTCAGAGAGTCACCTCCAACCTGAGGCCACACAGCCTGCTGGTGACCTGCAGGTTTGTCTCCCTCACTTAGGACAGGCCAGCCATAGCCGGCTGTTATCAGGGCCACGCTCGCTTAGCTCCACAGATCTTCCCTAGGGCCGGGCCCATGCAGAGCAGTGTCACAGTGTGGGTGTTGTCAGCAGCAGGTGGGACTGGAGGAGAGCACACACCCACCTGCCTTCCTGGCACTACCGAGACCCCCCCAGGTGTGGGGACTCAGGGCAGGATCCCTGCTGGCTTGCTCCTGGGCTGAAGGCCCTAGATTCTCTGAGCCCTGGCCCAGGGAGGCAGGGAGGCCTGCCTGAAGGTTCTACCAGCTGATGGCTCACCCCAAACCTCAGAGGGCCCCGCCTGGGGAGGTATGGTATTCTCCAGGGTGCTCCCTTAGCCAGACCTGCTGTTCAAGCACCAGGACCCAAGTCAACTATACACCCCATAAAGTCTCAGACTTTGGTATCAGACAGATTCAGGTCTCCGTCTCCACCTACTGTGTTATGTTAGGTGATATTTTAAGCTTGTTGGAGCAGCTTTCTTGGGAGTACTGTTACTTGTGTCCTTATCTATGTCAAAGGCTTGTTGGGAGGAGAAAGTAGACCGGGGTAAGCAAGGGCTCCTGCATAGACAGACTTGAGTTTAAAAATCGGCTCTACTGAGGTGTGACCTTGGACAAGGTACTTAACCTCTGCTAGCCTCAGCTCTGCCATCTGCAGAATGGGAGCAAGAACTCATGTAGTGCCAACAAAGTCAAACATACATGTTTGTGTGTGTGTGCACGTGTGTGTATGTAACATCGCCCATCCCATAGGAAACGCTTGGTAAGTGACAACTGTCACTGTTGTGTAACACCGGAGCCTTGCACACAGCAGGCTTTCCAGGATCCCTCCCCCTCTGTGGTGCTCTGGAACTGTGTGCAGGAGCACTGTGCCACCTTGTGGCCAAGCATGATGCTGCACCTTCGCCGCCACACTCACCCAAAGCAAGGGTGGCGGTCCTGCTCCGCGCCTCATGTGCTATGGATTAATAACAGCTCCTGCTCCACCTTCTCCAATCTGCTAGGGAAGGTGAAAGGCAGCTGTGAAGACGTGTGGTTAAAGAAGTCAATAGGATGGGGCCATCTGCCCAGGGCTGTTCCCATCTGACTGGCCCTGCACACTGTCCTCCCCTGTGCCCCGCCTCCACACTGGCCTCCAGCAGTTCTTTCCCCAGAGCCCTCTCCTGTAGCTGCCCGCCTGCGTGCTGAAGCCCACCACCCTTTCTGCTGCAGGATGTTTGTGATGCAACAGATCCTCCCGCAGCAACCTCCTCCTGCTGGTGACAGACCCCACCTGCGACTGCAGCTTCTTCCCGCCTGTCCTGCAGGAGGCAACAGAAGTCAAATATATCCTTCCCAGCCCAGGGTGTGCGGGTGAGGGTGTGGGAGGCTGAGATCACCAGTCTCAGATTTGGGGTGCTAAAGACAGCCCCCATTTCCCACTCTCCCCCAGAGCATGGTGGTTGGTTCTCCAGCCCCTTCCCTGACCCCCCCCTCCCCATCTACACATACACATGCTGCCTCCTGAGCCCTGAAAAGCAGCTGGTCCCACCAGGGTAGCTGCTTCTAGACCTTGGTCTCCAGGGTCTCCAGAATCAGTTGGGGTCCTGAGCAGTTGACCTTGACGGTGAATTCTGCACATAATGCCTCTGTCAAGTGTGACAGGATGCGCTCCCAGAAGCCCCGGAGGCGACCAGATTCCTGTCATGCCTTCCATCCAGAGGTGTGGGACTGGGTTGGCCAGTGTGGGGTGGGGGAGCTGGCCTGCTCCTCATATTCTCTGTGCCCTCTTGCAGACACAAGTGTGTCTGGACCCTGATGAATATGTGCACCTCACTGGGAAACAAACATTCACAAATGTGCATACAGGTTTATACAGTGATAGAAATAGTTAGCCAGGCATAGTGATCATACCTGAAATCCCAGTACTCCAGTCTGAGGCAAGAGGATCGTGAGTTCGTGGCCAGTTCATGGCTACATAGTGAGTCCCAGGCTGGCCTAGGTTACTTAGTAAGACTCCCATCTCAAAAAACAAAAGAGGGACAGGAAGGAGGATGGGGAAGAAAAGGAGATGAGGAGGGGAAGGGGGAAAAGGGAAGGGAAGGGAAAGGAAGAAAGGAAGAGAGAAAGAAAGAAAGAGGGAAAGGGAGGGAAAGGGAAGGAAAGAGAAGGACTTAGTCTTTGTCTCTGTTCCTGGCACAGAGCATCTGAAGCCCTTGTAACATCCTGGGTGACATGGGTGAGAGGAACATCTTGTTATCTTGGTCTCAGTCCCTGGTTCCTGATTAAGAACTTCTAAGACACTTAGAATGACAGTGACTTTTTCTGTGCTAATGATGTGACTGATAGCTGGAGCCTATACACAGTTTCAGAATGGAGCTGGTCACCAGAACCACCAAGGCACGATCAGCGCCCTCCAGGTTACCAAGACCTCCGTCAGACCCCTAATCCATGGGCTCGGAGGGCTCCCTGGCTGATGGGTGAATCTGTGTTCTGAGAAAGCGATGTGCCCAGCAGGGCACCTCACCGGCAGTTCCGTGGTACACCCTCCACAGTGAACTCATGGTAGCAGGTGCAATGCCTTTCTGAGGCTCTGAGCCATGCGAAGAAGCCACAAGCCTGATGAGAGGTTCATGGGAATCCCTGATTGACAGCCAGTCTGTCTCAGGTGGTGTCTGAGGTGGGTCCGTCAGCCTGAGGGACTGAGCCCTTCCGCCTGTGGGATCTGATGCTAACCCCAGAAGACTGAATCCATTCACAGGGCATCCAGTTGGTGTTGGAAAGCACTGCCGTATGTGTTTAGAAGTACTGTTGTTAAAAGCACATCAGAACCCCCATAGCACTTAAAGGGTATGTGGATAAAAGAGCCACATTTCCTAGGGTTTGGGCCCCAGGTGAATTCAGTTTCAGGGATGGGCCTGGCTAACATGTTAGAATGCCTGTACCACCAAGAAAAACATTTCTCTACATTGTCTTCTTTCCTTCTGCCCTTAGCTAATGATCCAAGTAAACAGGAGGAAGCCAGCATTTAGTAGGCAGCTGAGGCCACCACGTACAGGCCCTGAGCGCGGGACTTTCCACATGTAGTCTTTTTGGCAGTCCTGGGGTTTGAACTCAGGGCCTCATGCTTGTTAGGCAGGTACTCTACCACTTGAGCCACTCCGCCAGCCCTTTTTTGTGTTGGGTATGTTCAAGATAGGGTCTCATGAACTATTCAAACCACGATCCTCCTGATCTCTGCCTCCTGAGTAGCTAGGATTACAGGTGTGAGCCACTGGCACCCGGCTATGCACATAGTCTTTGCTGGGCATGGCTGTCACAAATAATTCACCTCAGAGAGATGCTCTTGGGGTTACAGACCCCCTGAAGCCATTCTGAGAGGAAGACCCCACAGCCATTCCAGGATAGGTCAAACAAAGCACTGGAGCCCAGCCCAGCCTCAACATTCCCCCTAAAGTCTTGCAGGGGCTTCCTCCACTTTCTGGAACTTCCTTATCTCCCTAAGCTCTCTCGTTGGGCCCACCCTCACCCGTCTGGCTTGGAGGGTGACCTCCACTATGGTGGCATCCACAGCCAAAGTCACTCTTCCACCTGTCTCTGGATTCACAGGAGAACGCCCAGGACTGTGGCGGTGCTTCGGACACCTCGGCCCCGCCCCTCCTACTCCTATTGCCACTGTGGGCCTGGCTGCTTCTGCCCCAGCTTCTGTGCTGACACCCAGACCATCTAATCTCCATTTGGCAAGGGGATCCTTCCAGAGACATCCTAGAAAGTAGCAGTTGACATGGGCCCAGCTCACCACAGCCAGGCTACCTCCCAGATTCAACCCCTGGCTAATGGTCCCTGCTTCAGGAGACTGCTGGAAGGAACAAGATATGTCCAAGAAGCATTTCCCAAAGTCCCTTGGTGCCACACCCCAAGCCTTTTTTTTTTTTTTTTTTTTTTTTGCGGCATTGGGGTTTGAACTCAGGGCCTCACACTTGCTAGGCAGGTGCTCTACCACTTGAGCCACTCCAGCAGCTGTCCCAAGTCTCGGTGGGCATCTTCTGTCCTTCCTCTCTCCTTCCAAGCCCTGCATGCACTCAACTAGGGCTAGGACAACAGACCTTAGTTCCACCTCTTCTCCAGAGCAGACCCTGACAAAGAAAGGTCAGCTGTCTCCCATGAAGCAGGCTGATGTTCAGAACCCCAGGACTTACATTGTGTACTGAGGAGCAGAATGAGGCCAGTGGCAGGAGACTGGAGCAAGAATGTGCCCCACCTAAAACAGGGAGCCAAAGGAGGGCACCACTGCTACTGCAGAGGGTGGGGGTGGGGGAGGGAGGGAAGAGAGGGAGAGGGAGAAACAAGGGAGTAAACAGTAAAAGGCAAGATGGAAAAGAGAAGCAAGTATTAAATTCTTTCAGGAACCATCAACATGGCTGGGTGTGATATCCTCCGACTGCTGCTACTGAAGAATTTCTGGAAGTTTTCACAAAGCCTTAGCTTAAAGGAAACTGCATCTAATAAAAAGCCAGTAGGCTAAGCTCTACAACTGCAGTGCTGGACAAAGCATGAGTCCAGGGGAGGTGGCAGGACCAGGCAGAGGTCCCCATGGACATGAGCAGTCCTTCACACGGGTGTGGTAAGGAGTCTCCTGAGCACTGACTCCAGACTCCCTGTGAGGTCCACGGTGGGCTTTTTCTGGCCAATGATCCAACAGCAACAAAAAATACTTGACTGTCCCATGGGCAAGCCCTTGAGGCTGGAAGTAACATGCATTAACTCATTTACTCCTTGCTGCAACCCTCTGAAGTAGATACTATGATTTGCTCACCTTCTAGATGAGGAAACTTAAGCTTAGAGTTGTAAACTGGCTCCAAGTTACTGAGGAGAACTGGGAAGACAGTGAATTCCTACAGCATGCCAGAAGCCACCTAGCACACACACAGCACTAAATACACATTAACTGCCCACCTTGCTTCACAGAGGTAGGGACAAAAAACTACAGCTTTGAAGCCAGGACTAACAGATGCCCATCTGCCTGGATGGGATTAGGAAGCAGCAGGGAGCCCTTTGTTGGGCTGCCTTGGCCTGTAGCACTTCTCCTTTTGTGCCAAGAAGACGGGCTGACTATGACAGAAATAGAGGAGTCCTCTCCTGACTCCTGCTCTGGCCAAGGTCACCCACCTGGCTTTCTTTGGCATTAGGAAGTGTTCTGACCTCCACAGTGTTTGCCCTCGACCTCTGTCTCAGACACCAGCAGCCTCTCTCTAGGATAGTGTCTTTCAGAGGGCTTGTCTTCCTCTCCCAACCAGGGAGAGGATTGTCAGGCAAATTTATCAACCACCTTGGCCATATAATTGACACAAGGAAGTGCTAGGTAGTGCTGGCCTGTGTCTGCTTCCTCAGGGCCCCAGGCCCTGAATGTCTGAGGGTGGACTGGGAGTCTGGAAGCAGTGGAAGGAAACCCATTTCTGCTAAGCTAACCTGCTCTTCTCTGCCTGGAGAACAGGATATTCTCCTAAGGTTTGCCTTTGAAGGTCTTAAAACACAAAAGGCCAGCAGGTGGCAGGCTGGTGCAAGCTGAGAGCCATCACCTTGATGGCAGTAGCACAAAGTTGGAACCTAAGTCACTCAGTAAACAGGGTATGGAATTTTGGCATCTCTTTTCTTATCAGCTCCTCGACTCCGGGAATCAATTAGCACTAAATCACTACCAGAATTGCTTTCAGGTAAACTGTTTCAACACCTACTTCATGATGCTTACTAAATGACATTTCCATTCAGGAGGGCGAGAGAACAGGCAAAACTTAAGCACAGAAAAGTAAATATGTTGGTAGCAGGGGCTTAAAGGCCACAAAGGGAAGGAATTAGAGCAAAGGCTGACAGAAGTGAGTCAACCACTATGGGAATGGTCTCTGTAAGAGCAGCAGTTTCTCAGTGGAGGACGAACTGGACATAATACTAGTCCTTTTATTTTGCAGTGTTAAAGATCTAAGCCAGGGCCCCTCACAGAGTGGGCACTCTACACTCCCAGCCCTCTAACACTTTTATTTTTGACAGGTGAGAACATGGGGACCAGGGGAGTAAATAATTTCTTGGTCTTATCACAGGACGAATGGCAGGGCTAGGCTAGCATGGCAAAGGATGGCAGTGAGAAGAGGTGCGTGAGGTGAGGTGCAGCCCAATCCCCTGCTCTGCAGCTTCCGTACTCCCCAGTTCATGCCACTGCAAGCAGCAGCTAGGAGGGTGAGCCAGGATGCCTTGTTTCAGCAAGTCAAACAGCTGAAGGCAGGAACAATGAGTACGACAGATAGGACACGGTTGTGGGGGGCGGTGTTAAGCAGGCAATTTGTGCCCAGTGAGAAAAGAAAACGCAGTATCCTACAACTGAACCATTTAGAAAACCATGTTCAAAGATCTTTATTTTTTTTTTGTGGCACTGGGGGATGAACTCAGGGCCTCACCCTTGCTAGGCAGGTACTCTATCTACCACTGAGCTGCTCTGCCAGCTCCCATGTTGAGATTTTAAAGCAACATTGTCCAGGGCCCCCAGAGCCCTACCTCTCTATAAAGTCAAAATTCAAATCTGTTCTCATCTGTTTCTTTTATAATACCCGTGGGACATCACCTGAGAAGCAATATCTTACTGCTGTCAGCGAGAGACTAGGAATAACCAAGTGGGCTTCAGCTTAGTTTTCATCAAGTCCTGAATATAGCCCAGTGTCCTACACCTTAACAATGCACAGGGAAACACTGAAGTTACATTTGTATTTAAAATATCAATTCATTCTGCTGGGTATTGAGGGGGTGAGGGGGAGAGGGAAGGGGCGGAGTGGGTGGTAAGGGAGGGGGTGGGGGCAGGGGGAAAAAATGACCCAAGCCTTGTATGCACATATGAATAATAAAATTTAAAAAAAATAAAAATAATAATAAAAAAAGAAAAATGATTCGGTTCTACTACCTGTAAAATAAATAAATAAATAAAATATCAATTCAGATCAAGCATGGTGGTGCATGCCAATAATTCCAGCACTCAGGAGGATCTCAAGTTCAAGCCTGGGCTACCCAAACTGTGCAAAAGAGAAAAGGAGAGAGAATTCAGAACAGACATAAGCAAGGGCTGGAAACCACCTGCAAAAACTACATTTGCCCCAGGCAAAAAGGCTAGCATTTGCTCTCCTTAACTTACACTGAAGAGACCAGGCTGACAAACCCCAAACTTTCTGAATCAATGTACATGAGGCCATCTAATCAGAACAAGAGACTTTCAAGTACTGAGAAGAAGCAATTTTCTCCATGCTCTTCTCCAGCAGATCACTGGCAGGCAGATACAAACTCCAGGTTTGGGTTTTCTCACTGGTGACAGTAAGCAATCCTGACTAGTGGGGCAGGGTTACTATTAGGAGTGCAGGAGAAAGGGATAGTTTTAACATAGCTCTTGGCTTAAAGTTACTACATTCGGATTTTGCAAGGCTGGGGATGGAACCCAGGACCTCACACAGGTCAGGCAGGAGCTCTACCATGGAGCCACATACCCTAGTCCCTAGACAGTATTTTTATAAACACAATAATAAATTAAGAACTATCTCTTAGAGTTAGATCTCCTTTCCATTCCAAACCTGGTCCAAGATATGATGAAAATCAAAAAGCTGGGAAAATCAAGTGCAGTCCTTAAACTTCAGGGTCCAAGTTAGGTCTTCTAGGATGATAGCTGAAAAGGCAGTGAAAACACAACAAAGTTCACCTTCCATTTGGTTCTTTTTATTAGAGAAATTGAGAATACAGCAAGTAGGGAAATCCCATGATAAATGGAACCATCACACAGATGCTTTCCTGGAACCCCAACCTTCTATGATACCCCAAAATGTGCTTTGTGGCTTTAGCAATTTATAAAGGGAACGGGGGAGAATACTGAAAAAGGCCACTATTTAACGGAGAATGAATGAAGCTATAGAGGTCCTAACCAGCTTAGGAACCAAAACAAAAATTGAAAACGTGCGCAGAGCAAGCAAGCCTCAGACTGCTGAGAGTAAGGCATTCAGGCGCCACCCTGGTGAGTTCTCAGCGGCACTGCAAGGTCGAGTGCACATGGAGGCTGTTGGTAGTGAGCTGCGCATAGACACACACGGGCACATGGGCCCACACACACACCCAGAAGAGGGAATTTACTGGATTTACACATTGGTGGTGTTGGTTTCATTTTCCCCAAGGTTTGTGCTATGTTTAACAAGATTCTTCCTGCTTTGGGGTGTGGGGTGCCTGGGCCCAAAGACTGCTACTTCTGTGGGTGTTGTTACAGGGCTGCATCTCACACCCTGCATCCCAAAAACATGACCAAAGAACAAGTCTGTCTTCTGATATGTGCTATTGCTCCCACGAAACTAAGTGAACGTCCTTCCAGATGACCACTGTCCTGCCAGGCTTTTTTCTCAAGGGGTAATACTGCTCATTCTGTCAGGCACTGCATCACTTCACCCACGGAGTCTTTTGTTTGGTCCACCTTGGGCAGAGGCCTTATCCAAGAACCAAAAATACTCCTAAGTTCTTCCCAAGTTCTAAATTAGATTCTTTCTTCCTGGATCCCAGCTGTGAGTGGAGATTCAGAAGGGAAAGGATGGAGAAAAATAACCACAGAAACGCTACAGAATAAATAGGAACCCCTTCCCAAATTCCCACACATCCCTTTGAAGATGCCAGTCCCCTGCCTAGGGCCTCACCATCCCCAGGATGGAACACAACTGGCTCAAGTCTTGGGTGACAGTAATCCAAGGCTCCAGTGCTATTTTAATGGCTCACCTATGAGCCAGATCCCACTGCCACCACTCTCCCTGACGCCATACCAAGATGGCCCTGGCACAAGAGAAATTACTTTTCATTTGTATTAGGAATGAAAACATGTGGACTTAAAGGTTCTTCCAGACTTCCTGTCCATCACACCATTTCCTTTTAAACTCTGCACCATGCTACCCCTGAAAAGCTGGGTTTGATAAGTACTGACAACCCCATGGTGGCTTCTGGAGAGTTCTGCTGGCTTTCTTGTTCAAGGGAGCTGAGGTACCTGTCACACAGGGCTTACCAAGACAGTACACAGAGGTGAAATCATCATCCCTAGCCCAAAGGCAGGGTCTGGACCCAAGTGACCTCAGGAGGAACCTACTACCCAATTCAGAATCTCCTATGTGGCCAGCTCCATGCCAGGAGCTATTAGGCTCTTAGAGAAGGCAATGTTTATTTCCAGGAGGAAGAACGGTAGTTAGGGCAGTGATTTTTAACACAGGAAAACTTAACAGGTGGCCAGAGCTCCACAGTAAGGATATGGAAAACTGTTCTTCTCTGCCCACAAAGGTGAACTGGATACCAGGAAGTAGTCAGATGGGCCCCTATGCTAATGCTCCCAAAGGTCCTCCACTATCTCCACCACCCTTTATCAGCATCAATGGCAGGACTAGTGGCTCTACTCCTTAGAAAGGGTCACTCTTGGCCTATAAGACAGTCCCTCAAATGACACACCTTAACCAAAGCCTTTGCCTAACACCACCTATCAGCCATTCTGCTGCTCCCAACAATGAAGCACCTACCACAACTTCCCTTTCCTTTACTCTACCTCTACCGCAGGACGCCCAAAGGTTCTCAGGCCTGAGAGCGGCCATGTGGCCACTGGGCTGGGGCTATAATCTCTGCCCCACTAGAGTCCAAGTACATTGGCCTGTAGAAGGCACCTTGGTGCACCAAGACATCATGTATTCTGGGGCTACCACCTCATTCTCCTTCGGTCACTTTGTGCAAAATTGAAACAGTGTGTGGTACTTGCATGTTTCATTCTATACAAAAATTCTCCCTCCCGCCCTATCCCTGTGTTTTAAACATTTATATAAATTTTTATTTAAACAGTAAGTTAGAAATCTTATTTACATTAATTTTTTTGTTCTCCCAAAAGAGCATCTAAAATCACATATTCCCACCCCTTAACTGGATATAAACGTTCACCTAAATTGGTTTGTATTGTTTTAAGAGAGAAAGGAAGAAAGAGCCACCAGCTGAACTGTTTCCCCATCTTCTACAATAAATATGACATAAATCAGAAGCCAGTTTGCCAGGGGTCTTGCGGAGCCCACAGTTGGCGATTCCAAGAGCAGGTCAAGGAACAGGCCGTTTCTCCTTTTCTCCAATTGATGCAATCCAGCCTTTGAGGTATGATTTATTTTTGTTTTCCTCTTCTCAGTCGTGTACCACATGGAGCTCCTGGGCTGTCGCAAGGCCCATGAGGCTGTCAAAGTTTTGGGGCTCCTCTGGTACTAGCATCGAGACCAACAGGGAGGCTTGCAGGTGCTGCAGGCCCAGGTTCAGGGTCATAGTCCCTGGCTACTGGTAGTGTCACAGTGCATCCTCTTCAGTGCAGCCCCCACCAATCATGAAACGGAACTCCTGCAGGTTTGAGACGCCGTGGAAGTGGACAAAAGCTCCAGCAACCACAAAGATGTGGAACAGCTGATGAGAGTGAAACTGAAGGAAGAAAGAGGAGGGGGGAGAAACCCATCGTTACTAAGTCTGCTGAAGACTCCTAGGACCACTGCATTCTGGCTCATGCTGACAGAGGGCCAGGAATGCGTGTGACAAAGCTCAAATTCCAGGATCTGCGGATCCTGGAATGCCATTAGGCATATCACATTCTGCTGAGTTGAAAGCCAGTTGTCCACATAGAAATCTGAATATTGCTGCTAAGCTCTAGATGTGAAAATCTGCAAGTTTAACACTGGAATACCCAGTGAACATACAGGGCAAATGACATACAGACACTCATGCCATTAGACCACAAAGTTCCCAAGGAGACACCTAGCAGTGGGCCATGGTTACTAAAGCACACTTTTCTGTCTTGACATAGAATGCTAGAGCTGTGGTCATTTAAATATTACTCTCTGTTAGAAAAACTAAAGGGGTTTCCAGGACTGAGTGGAAGGTCACAGTACATGGTCCCTGGAGTTCCCTTCAGCATTAAGATTCTGGAATTACATGAACAACATACTGTACAAAAAGACTAGGCGAACACAGTCAGAAGCAGGTGACATTACTTCTGCTTTACCTGTTCTGTTTCATGCTTTATCACATCTCAAGAAGGGTAATCAGTTGCTCAGGGTACCAAATATCACTTCAAAAATTTCACTACTCTCTCATTACATTCTCAAAATGAAAAAGCACAGTGGCAAAGCAGTATTTATCAAGGAAAAGATACTGATCTTAGAAGTGTAAACAAAAAGAAACTAAAAGTTACATCCTAAGGGATGGTTTTTATGAAACAAAAGGGGATTTTCTAAAAAGGGGGAGGGGGTAAAAATTTTCTCCATATCCGTGTCAAAATATGAGGCAATTTCACAAAGATAAATTAGCTAATTTGAAGCTCCAAAGACTGAGTTTAAGATTGTTCACTTTACAGATAGCTAACCTGAACTTTACAGAAATTAAATGATCAGCTTAGTCCACAGTTATCAGCAATGAGAAACAGGATTCCACAGGTCAGATTGCATGTTAAACAACACTCCCATCTTGTATGTTGAAATGATTCAGGCCCTCTTCAGTTATAAATCCTCTATGTGTACCAGACCTTCATATTTTCTTTTTCCCCTTTTCTTTCCTACTAAACAAAGTCTAGTTACCTCTCCCTCCTCCTCTAACCATTACAAATCACTGGGTTTTCCTATTGAAAAGGACTTTAGCAGAAATCTGGTTTATAAAAGGTCTTTGGCAAAAATCTGGTCCATCACCTCCTTTCAAAAATGAGGAAACAAGAGACAAAAAATGGCTAAATGAGTCTCCATTATAGGGTAATAAGCAGGAGTTTTAAATTAGTTTGATTCCAACTCTAATCCTACCACTTAATAGCCTTGTGCCTTGGACAACCCTTTGTTTCCTCATGTGTAAAATGAAAATGCCTTATAAGGTAAACATGTTAAATGAGGCAGTCCATGTACAGCACCCAGTGCTGTGCTGGGCACCAAGTGCTCAATAAGTGTGAATTATTACCGTGCTCACTGTCCAAAGAAACACAGCTAAGGAAGGAAAGGAAGGATACAGGGCTAGAATACAAGTCTCTCAACCTTTAAGTCTGAAACTTTTTTGTTTCCACCACTCCCCAGTCTGGTAACACCACACCAGCAGATAGGCATACACTTCATCACCTCTGATCACTCTTACCCAGATGTCACATTTGCCAGGAAAGAAGCGCTCCGGGATGCGGGCGGCGTAGAGGGCAGCTCCTGTGATGTAAAGGCTGGCCATGAGCATTAGCCAGCCGATCTGCCCTATGGTGGCAGCCTTCAGGAAGCCCTCCGCTATGACATAGTGCAGGGTGGGGATGATTCCACTCAGGCCTAAGCCCAGAAACACTCCTAGGAACCATGAGAACAGAATACTGTGAAAACACGTGAGAAAAACAAGAAGGAAGAACAGCACAGCACTATTTACTTGGTAAATTTGAAATTCCAAAGCAGTATGCAACACTGGACTCTTGTTTTAAAGGAAAAAAGTTGCTCTTCAGACTCTGGAACTATCACAAGACAACACAGCTATGTTCTAAAGATCTATTTACAAAGGGAAGGAGCCTCCTGCTATATGAGGCTTACTTCATAAGTGAGCAGATCCCAAGGGTTAGTTATGTTGCTTATGCACTTTAGGAGAGGACAATCCAGAAGTTTGTTTAAGCTTCCTTAGATGCTGCCCTTTCACAGACACAGACTGCAGTACAGACCAATCTTACATAGTTTATCTACCCTTTCAAGCCACAGACATTGTGGGATGGGCAGGCAATGAATGATCAGATAGCCTGGAGAGATAAACAATACCATAAAGCCAAAATAATTTCAATAGTAATCTAAATGTATGATCTGAGCATGGGTATTTAAAGTGCTCTGAACAAACCTGGGGTATGGAAGAGCACCCCTGTAATCCCAGCACTTGGGAGGCTCAGGCAGGAGATTGTGTATTTGAAGCCAGTCTAAGCTACGTAGCAAGACTATCTCAAACAAAACAACCTGAACAAATGGCTTAACCTAGGCCCTTGAGTAAGCCTCCCATGTCCCAGATAGCAATCAAGTACAAAAATCTGTCAGAATGGGGCTGGGGTGTGGTTCAGCAGCACAGCAGGTGCTTTAGAAGGTCAGAGCCCTGGGTTCAATCCCCAGCACTGCCAAAAAAAAGTCTGCTCAATCACTCAACACAGCCTACTACTATGTAGTACTTTTCAAATTTCTGGATAGGTTCTTAAGTTCTAAGGTCAACTAAGTGGCTTTTAATTAGCATTTTGTAAACAAACTAGAATAAAATTTAAAATATCAGACTATGTTACAAGTGAAAGGAAAAAAAGAATATTCTGTAAACATTTTATATTTTATATATACATGGGTATTCTCTCTCTCTCTCTCTCTCTCTCTCTCTCTCTCTCTCTCTCTCTCTCTCTCTCTCTCTCTGAGTTGTAAGAGAAAACACCATGATCAAAAAAATTGTGAGTTCCACTTATCTAAAACCACTCTGAAACCCATGGGTCAACACTTGCCTCTGCCAGTGACTAAGTGAGTACATCTTACATTTTGACAGGCACAAGTTGAGAGTGGCCCCTCCCACACAGGGTATCAGTTGGTAAGCTTCCACAACAGGCAATGAGCCTGCAACCTGCTCTGGGTGTTACCAAATAAGCTGCTGGTATGCAACAACACATGCAAGCAAGACGGGCAGGATGAACAGCGCCTTCCATCTATAAGTCAAAGGCACAGAACTTGGCTCTTCTGATATACATAAATAGCAGAGCACTCAGCTCCACTGAGCAAAGACGTTCTTACACCATATGCTCAAGTGGGCTTAACACCACACAACTGAAGGGCTAATGAAAGCCAGCCCTGGCCATATTGTGTGCTCACAGGAACATTTTAAAAAGAGCAGCAGCATCATAACCATGGTCAGTAATGTGGTTAATTCTACTTCTGGCATTCTAACTAAGTGCAGATGAACCATGGCCTAAAAAACAATACTCCTTATGATTCTGCTTACTCAGTCTCAGGAGACAGCAAGTTTTACACTGAGGATAGAACCCAGAAGACACAGTCCCAGATACAAGGAGACCCAGTTCAGTGGGAAACAAAAAACATCTCTACTAATTCCATATTCCAGCAAGGTCAGCCAAGGTGCTGAGGGACTTTGGCTTTCCATATGATCTTCAGTTCAACAAGATCACCCTACATAATATCCCTATATCAGAAGAGATGTATGGTACCTACTTTAACAGCACATAATCAGTACTGTGAGGTCCTATTTAAAACTGCTTACAAAATACTTTAAAAAAAATGTAAAACAAAACAAAAAATGACAAACATGAGAATTAGTCACTACAGTAAGTACACTGAGGCAAGCATGGTGGTACAAGCCTGTAATCTAAGCTACTCAGATGACTGCCTAGGCAGGATGAGTCTGAATTAGAGGTCAGCCTAGGCAAATTAGTGAGACTCTATCTCAAAAATAAGCAAAACAAAACAGCAGTGGGAGGAAGCGCAAGTGGTAGAGCAGTTTCCTAGTGTAATCCCACTGCACTAAGATGAAAGAATAAGAGAAGTCATTATTTTGTGAGGGTGGCTCACAGAGAGTATACCGCCAAGTCAACAACATGGCTGAAAACGCATGACTGCATCAACTCACCAACACCCCAGACCCTCCCTTTAGGACCAGCACAACACTGGGTCAAAAGTCCCTCAATAACAGAAACTGTCACTTAACCACTGCAAATACACAGCACAATGCTTGCCAGATATAGACCTTCAGTAAACAGTGATGAATAAATGCGTGTCTAGGATGAAGCCTCTCTACATGTACTCACCTGCTCTGACTCCCCGATACTGAGGGGTGGCAAACATGTCCCACTGGGAGACGATGATGGCTGCAATGCCCAGCACACAGATGACGATCAAGTAGATGAAGCACGGTTGTGGATTACAGTAGAAAGAATAATAAAGCCAAGGGACAAAACTCCCCATAATCAGAAGGGCAATGCCAGAGTAGTCCAGTCTAGGATAAAACAGAAAACTCCATTTAATGTCAACACAGGTTCTGATTAACCCCACAGCATGAGCCTTCAATAACAGGCAAGAGGCAAACTGGGTCGCATGCTTTAAATGAGGGGAAAAAAGCTCCCATGAGATGGCTTCAAGAATTCTTGGCCGGGTGTGGTCATACCTGCCTGTAATTCCAGCTACTCATGAGGTGGAAACTGGATCATGGTTGGATGCCAGGCCAGACAAAGTTAGCATGAGACCAGGATAATAAACTAAAAAAGCAAAAGGCCTGGAGGACTAGCTCATGTGGCACAGCACTTGCTTAGCTAGTGTGTTGCCCTGAGTTCAAACCCAGTACTGCAAAAGAAAGGAAGATGAGAGAGGAGGAAAGGGGGGGGAGGGAGAGGAGAGTGGGAGAGAGAGAAGAGAGGAAGGGAGGCAGGAAAGAAAGAAAGAATTTTCCGCCCACTAACTGGAACTCCTGGATGTTGACAAGGACTGTAGACACTTACTTAGAGAAGAGCCGGGAGACTCCTTCTGAGTGGCAGTACACTGTGTGGAAAAGCCATGAGAATGAAAGGCAGAGAATGGCTCCCAAGAAGAACAATCCAAACACCACCTTCTCTTGCAGAGGGGCCACAAAGGAGATATTTGGGCGAAACATATAAAAGATCCCGAGGCACAGAAAGAACACACAACCTAGGAAGAGAGTGCAGGAGACAGGTAAGCATCACTCTCTGAACAGACAGCATTAGGTGCTGACTCTGTTCTCAATCTTCCTCAGTACCAATGGTACCTGAATCAGTTTCATGAGAAAAATTTCTCCCAGTAACTGAGGCTTATTATATATACTTCAGCTTCACATTGAATATACAGGATATAGTAACTTACTCATCCAGGGGCACAATCCAAAAAAAACCAGACGGTGCAGTCACTTGTTGGACCTAGCATGAAGTTTCACTTACAAATTCTGGCACATATGTTGCAGCCCAGCTTTTAAAGGTCCATTTTGCTTTTGCTTTTATTTTTGCTATGAATTCCAAGGCCTTCAAAGCCCAGGAAATGCAGCTTGCCCTGACCCTCAGGCTGTCAAGGAGTGCCATACTAGTTCTCTGGTTCTTGTCAGCTCTGGCCAAGTAGATTCAAGATAAGGGTCAGGAAAGTGGCCCAGTTCTTAAGTTGGTCTTCTCCACACTAAGATACCATGTTCTTATTGCCAGGGAAGGGCTACTTAACACAGGAAGGCAGACACTGGGTAGTTAAGCATCTGTTAAGTGACTCTGTTTTAGGATTTTTAATTAAAAATTACCCCTGCCAGGTGTGGTGGCTCAAGCCTGTAATCCTAGCTACTTGCAAGACAGAAATCGGGAAGGTCAGCCTGCACAAAAACTTACTGAGCCTCCATCTCAACCAATGGCTGGGTGCAGTGGGTGTGCTTGGCATCCTGACTACTCTCACTATACATAGCACGCAGGAGCCTGGAGGCATGGCAGAAATCAAATGTGTGATAAGAAATGCAAGTCAAGTGGAATAAGGCTGGAAACTCTGTATTAGAGCTATTGTCAGCTCCCATTCTCTACTCCCTCCAGCACAGACACCTCAAATCTACTTTCCGTCTCTAAGGACCACCTGTTCTGGACATTTCATGTACCTGGAATCACACAGTTCATGGAGCCTTTGTTTTCTTTCACTTAGCAAATGTTTTCAGGGCTTGCCCATGTTGTAACATACATCAGTACTTAGCCCTCTTGTGGCCAAATAAAATTCTACTATATGGATGTACTACATTTGGTTTATCCATTCATCAGTTGCTTGTTTCCACTTTTTAACTATCACAAGTAATGTTTCAGTAAACATTCGTGTACATGTTCCTATGTGAATATGATTTCAATTATCTTGGATTTATACCCAGGAGTGGGATTGCTGATAACTGTTTGACTGCCACACGGTTTTCCACAGATGCTGACCCATTTTACATTCTTACTGGCCATGAACCAGAGGTCCAATTTCCCCACATCCCCGACAAGACTTTTTTCCATTTTCTTGATTATAGCTATCCTAGCAGCAGTGAAGTAGAATCTCAATACATTTGATTTATATTTCCTTAAATGACTGATGATAACAAACATCTTTTCATGTGACTACTGATCATTTGCATATTTTCTCTGGAGAAATGTCTACACAGAAGCTTTGCCAATAAAAAGACAAACTGGGCTGTTTTTATTATGGAGTTGTAAGAGTTCTCTAGTAGACCAGCTAAATGATTTGCAAATATTCTCTCTCACTTTTACTTTCTTGATACTATTCTACGACATACACAAGTTTTTAATTTTGGTGAAGTTCAATTTATCTATTTTCTTTGCTTGCCTGTGCTGGGTCCAACTTCATTCTTTCGTTTGCTTTCATTTTCAGACAGGGTCTCACTATGTAGCCAGAGCTGGCCTTGAATTCTTGATCCTTCTGCCTCAACCTTCACAGGGCTAGGATTATAGATGTGTGCTGCCACACTTGGCTCAACTTCATTCTTTTACATATGGCTACTCAGTTACCCCAGTACCTTTTGTTAAAAACACTATCTTTCCCCACATTGTGTTCTTTATTTAATATACAATCATGATGGGGAAAGACTATGCTTCATATTCTATTTTAAGCCAAACTGAAATTTAAAGGTGAATATTCTAAGTAATGACTTTGAAAAATTAGCTTACTTCTAAAATACTTCCTCTCACTGCTTACTAAAATTTTATACAGATTTTGCATAGCAACTTTTCCTTGCCTGGTTTGAGGACACTGTCCAAAGACCTAGGAGAGAAGCCAGGCATGGCAGCGCACACCTGTAATTCCAGAATTCAGAAGACTGAGGCAGGAGGATCGCAAGTTTGAGGCCAGCCTGGGCTACAAAGTGAGAAACTGTCTATCTCATTCCTGTTAGAATGGCTATCATTAAAAACACAGATAACAACAAATGTTGGCAAGAATGTAGGGAAAAAAGGAATCCTTCCTTACATACTGCTGGTGGAAATGTAAATTAGTACAACCACTATGGAAAACAGTATGGAGGCTCCTCAAAATACTAAAAATAGAACTGCCATACATTCCAGCAATACCATTCCTAGGGATATACTTGAAGAACTGCAAGCCAGGTTGTAACAAAAGCACCTGCACACCCATTTTTATTGCAGCATTATTCACAATAGCTAAGCTATAGAAACACCCAAGATTCCCCACACTGATGAATGAATTAAGAAATGTGGTATTTCTATACAATGGAATTTTATTCGGCCATAAAGTAGAATGCAATTTTGTCATTTGCAGGAAAATGGATGGAACTGGAGAACATCATCTTAAGTGAAGTTAGGCCAGGCTCAGAAGGCCAAAGGCTGCATGTTTTCTCTCATATGTGGAATATAGGCCCAATACAAATATAAGCAAGCAATACTAAGAAAACAGGTCATGCTAAGGAGAGGTCTCCAATGGGAGAGGGAGGGTAAAAGAAGAAAGTTAAGAAGATGAATAAGGATGATATACTTTCTATACAAGAATGAATACAGAATCTTTAAATCTGATGAAATCATCATAAGAAGGCAACTAAGAAAGGGGTTGGTGGAGTGGCTCAAGTGGTAGAGCACCTGCCTAGCAAGTGTGAGGCCCTGTGTTCAAACCCCAATGCAGCCATAAACAAATAAAAAATAAAAATAAAAAGAGGTCCAGATGGAATACTATACATTCATTTTTTTGGGGCGGGGGAAATGGTTAAGGAGGTGAATTCATATATATCTGATACACTGTAAGAACCTGTGTAAATGCCACAGTATACCCTCAACCCATCATAACAATAAAGGGAAAAAAAATAAGGCAGAAGGAGAAAAAGAGAGGGGATGAACCAGTTTGGGTTATAATACATATATACATGGATATATCACAATAAAACTCCATGTATAGCTATCTTAAACAAACAAAACTGTCTTTTAAAAAAAAAAAAAAAACAGGAAGTTGTAAAACACATCCTGTCTGGAGGTTGGTACCAGTGGGAGGGAAGAGGATATAAGGAAATGGTGCAGGAGGGTGAGTGTGATGTAAATATTATGTACTCACGTATGAAAATGGAAAAATGAGACATGTTGAAAGTATTCCAGGAATGGGGGAAAGGGGATTAAGGAGAATGATGGAGTGAATTCAACTATGATATATTTTAAGAACTTTTGTAAATGCCACAATGTACCCCTGGTACAACAATAATATGATTTTTTTAAATCTAGGAGAGAAAATGACTAAGTTGTAATAAAATCACAGTGCAAACTAGGATAAACAAACAGCAAACCAGTGAATAAATTCATTGTTCGATGTACAGGAGAGGGAAAAAAAACAAAGGTAAATGCATTTTTCAAGTTCTGTCCTTCCCCTTAAACTCATGAAAAGAAGATGAACTCATTATACCACCAATATTACCTACCTAACAGATGAGTCCAGATGTTGCCTGTCTCTGTGTGTATTCTGAAAATGCTCTTAAAACAGGCCCGGAAAGAAGGCATAGGAGGCCGGTGTCCGTGTAAAAGGAAGTCATTGTCCTTCAGCCAGTCTGGCAGCACATCATGAGGGATCACTCGCCATCGCCCTTCCCAGACCTGGTATGAGTAAGTTGAAGAATGTTAGCCAATACCTTTGTGATTTTAGTTGTCTGTTAGCAACACTGGTCCCAAACAATGATTTCTCTTACCTCATTACTTTATAATGGAGAAAATAAAGCAGACTGATAAAATTTTTTTAGCAGAGGGCTTTCTTAAGAAAACAAAAGAACTAGAGGCACAACTCAAGTGGTAAAGTGCCCACCTAACAAGCACAAACCGTGAGTTCAAACTCTAGTACTGCCAAAGGGAAAAAACAAAAAGAGTAAACAAATTCATAGGATATGCCCCCAAAGACCTTTGTTTCAGTCTGATTACAGGAGGAGTGAGGGGCCCAAAGTCCCACCATTCAGACCCTTCCTCATCCTCCACAACAGACTCTAGTTCTGAAAAACTGGTATTATTAAATATGACCATTTTTATATTTAATATTCCCCTTGGTAGAAAAAAACTGAATAAGGCGCCAGGCATGGTGGTACACACCTATAATCCCAGCACCCAAGTGGTTGAGGCAAGGGGGTCTAGAGTTTGAGGCCAGCCTTGGCTACACAGATAGGCCAGCCTATCTCCAAAAAAGAAAACAGGGAGGGGAGAAGAACTGTATAGAATGACACTTATGTGCCTTTTCCTAAACTCCCTTCCTCCCTCCCTCCCTGTCCTCCCCTATCTTCTTTTTCCACCTTAGCAAATATGATGCAGTAGAAAAGAAAGAGTACAGGACTCAGAAAATCTCAAATCTCTGACACTAACTGGTTGTATGAGCTTTAACCACAAAATGTCCAGCCTCAGTTTTCTCATTTATAAAATGAGTATGGTCATGGTTCACTCCCTTAATTAGGAAATCACAAAGACCAAACAAAATGGCACCCAGACTTTATAGGTGAACTAGCATCCTAGCATCCACTCCAAGGTTAGCACATAGTCTTGAGTCTGAGCAAAGGCCCCTTAACAGTCCTTCAGGCCCCTTAGCACCTTTTTTTTCCCTTTTTCTATTGTTCCTCCCCAACAGACTCTAGAGGAGAGGAAGTCAGCAACTTGGTATTCCCTCCTTGGGAAGTATCAACCTCTGTACCCTGTTTTGTTTAATGACTCTCAGCTCAGACAGCTCACAGCACAATGATCATTTCACTCAGAACTAACTTGCTTCTGAGCCAGAAAGCAGCAAGAGAAATGTGGAGTGCATGGCCTGCCTTCCAGTTAATGTGGGCTCAACAGTGCTCCTAGTCTTTTACCCTATAAGCAAGAGTCAGACTACAAATCAGCAGGTCTGCTGTCAGACTAAGACCTCTGCCCCAGCCCTCAGGGGTCTGTGACAAACAACATAGCTAAGGCTCAGAAACTTGGTTCTCCTCCTGTCCAGGATGCTGAGAGACTGGCACTTACTTGCCACTACTTTCCCATTCCTTGCTCTCCACAACCTGTTTCCTGATCTCTGCTCTCTTAGCTCCTTATCAACATTTGTGAAAGAGCTGATCTTTTGTTAACACCTTCTCGACCTCCAAGGAAATACCAATTTAAGAGTTACTCAGGAGGCAGAGGCAGGAGGAGCTCAAGTCCCAGACAAAGTTAGTGGCACTCTATATCAAAAACAAAATTTAAAAAATAATTAAATAAATAAACAAATAAATAAATAAACCCAGAAGGGTTGGGGGTGTGACTCAAGGGAGCACTTACCTAGTATGTACCAGGCCTAACAGATGCAACCCATCTCCTTCCTTCCTTCTCCTCCCCTCTCTCCCTCACCTTCCAACTCATGTCGAGGGGCCTATAGTCACTGGTGCTAACATGGCCATTCCATGTGTTCCTAACACAATAAAATAAAATAATGCCAACAATGCCTACTGCTAATGGTAGTTATCCCACATATCCATGGGGATCGGTCGCAGGACTCTTTGCAGATACCAAATCTGCAGTTGTCCAGGTCCTCATACAAAATGGCATGGTATTTGCATGGAACCTATGCAAATCCTTCTGTGTGCTCTGACTCAGATCTAGATTACCATGATACATACTACAAAGCAAACAGTTATTATACTACATTGTTTAGGGAATAATGAGAAGGGGAAAAGTCTTCACATACTTAGAACAAATGACAGTCGTCTTTCCCCCAAATATTTCTTCCCTTCCCTTCCTCCCAGGTTAAGATGGGGTCCGACTATGCGGCCTAAGCTGTTGTTGAACTCATAGGCTCAAGAGATCCTCCTGCCTCAGCCTCCCAAGAAGCTGGGACTACAGGCATGTGCCATTGTACCCAGTTCTCCCAAATAGTTTCGATCCTCAGTTGGCTGAATCCACAAATGTGGAACTCATGGACACACAGGGAAGACTGCATTACAACTGGTAAAAGTAGTTGTTGAACAGAGAGGGAAGGGGGAGTAGAAAAGGGAGAGGGGAGAAGAGGAGGAGAAAAAAGGAGAGTGTCTGAGAGTGAGTATGAGATACTGAATTTTTTACATCTAATATGAACTCGGGAAAGACAGAATCAAGAGCTACATATTGCAAACTAACAAAACAGTCAAATGCTCCTTTTCCATGGTCAGAAAGAATATGTTAGGCTTCTTACTAGTACACATGCATCCCATGTCAAGAGACATTTTCCCTATTGTCTGTAACTTCCCTAGTCACTCTTCAGTTAGTGACATGTTCAACCCCTCTTGGAGCCACATGTCTTAGACAAAGTCATTATTTATCTACAAGCTTGACAAAGATATTGTCTAACTTAAACATCTTACCAAGGTTCCACTGCATTTGCACTACACCTGATAATATACACACAACCTAAACTTTTTTCACTACTCATGCACACTTCCTACTCCTATTGTAAAATAGCAAAAGAACAAAGTCTGGAAAAAGAGACCAAGATCAAATTTAAATACTCTAAAGACTAAATTAATTTCCCCCATTCCTATTAAAAAAAAAAAAAAACTTTTCCAAAGCTAGGTGTGGTGGTGCATATCTAATAATCCCAAGTACTTAGGAGGCTGAGGCAGGAGTTCAAGGCCAGCCCAAGTCATTAGCAGACCCTGTCTCAAAAACAAAACAAAAAAGGGACTGGTGGAGTGGCGCAAGTGGTAGAGTGCCTACCTAGGAAGTACAAGGTTTTGAGTTCAAACCCCAGTACCACCAAACAAAACAACAAAAATGAAGGGAGTACCTCAAATGGTAGAAGCAAGTACAAGCCCTGGGTTCAATCCCCAGTACCCCCCCACACACCCCTCACACACACACATACAAAGGGAAATGCAGTCCCAAAAGGGAAGGTAGCAAGGCCATAGCACATCTCATTTTAAATTTGCTTTCCCCTTCCCCCCCCCAAAAAAAACCCAGAATCCTAAAATGGCAGACATGGCTTGTTTTCAAGCTGGGTGGATTGTACTGCCACACAAGGCAGAGCAATGCTGTGGACTCTGTGCTCAGACAGACTGCTAGAGGACAAGGGAATGGAAAGAGATTCTGTGCACCAAACATTTCTCTTCAGTAAAACACAATTTGTATCATTAGCTGTTAAACTGAAAGTCTTTATTTCCTTTATTCTTTGCTCTAAGTTCAGAAAGGGAGAACAAGAAGGCAGTCAAGTCAGCTTCAGTATCCCACTGATCTAAAAATATCAAAATGCCTAGACATTAAATATGCAACTTAAACAGATTTCTTCACACCAATTTTGCTTTTTGAAAAACAAGATGTTATCTACTGTGTCTCTCTGAGCTAATTCTCCTGTCATTATCACTATAATGGAGCCATAGTTTTTGCTTGGCACTTCTGTCACCAATTTTTAAATTTAAATTGATTAAAATTATCTGAGCTCTATGTAGACCTATAAATGTGTACATTTGGCTCCTTCCACCCCCCTGCTCTGGCCCTTAGTCTTAGAAGGAATGTGTGTGTTCAGATCATAACATTCTCTTCTCATCCCCTGGTCCAAAGAGTAGCATATGGAGTCAACTGGCCTCAATTATTTCCAGCATCACTATGAATACAGGAAAACCTAAACTTAGTTTTCAGGGTCTAATGCCACAGCATAAAAGTTTTGATTTCATAGACCTATGAAAGCTGTCATAAAAATTTTTCTCTAAATAAGAGTTCTTCAGAAATGTCTAATCAATGAATTTATATACATATCCACAGGCAGACAAACTTATGCTGATTTGAGATCACACCTGCCAGGGCCCTTACAGATCTGATTAATCACATGTCTATACACCTACCGGTGCCCATCCCTATTTCCTCAAATCAAACAACTTCAATTCTAGTTATCATTTTAAAAAGAGAAGAGCCTCAATTGTCCTAGGGAATCAGACAGTGGATTAAAACATGAGGTATGCATGGAAGCCAGGAGACTTCTACTTCAAGAGAATCCTCCTACTTCATAGAATCCTTCACAAAGAATAGGTTTGCTTTCCAAGCCAAACAGCAGAAGAGATTCAAGAGACTTGGCGATGACATTTTAGTAGCCTGTATCAGGAAAGGTCTGTTTCCCAAGTAGATATTCTGATTTTATCAGCATTTTACCACAGCTGCTGCAGGCACACACATGCATTATACCTAGAACAGGATTAAAGTCCCAAGACTGTCTCTCTCCCCATCTTGCCACTGAATTTCCCCAAAAGAAATCAAGTAGGGGGAGACTACTCTTGCCACTGAAGTTCCCCAAGAAATCAAGTGGGGGGAGAAGCTAAAGGGGCATGGAAATGGGAAGAAAGGGCAATCTTACCTTACAAACAAACTCTTCCATTCTTTCCATAGCATGATGGGCTTGTAAGAGAGGGGACATGCCCATAAACCCCTCATCCTCCTGACAATTGTCATCACTGCACCCACTGTCCTCAGAGACCTGCAAGGCAAACAAAGAAAACAGTTAAAGACAAATCAAGAGCCAAATGACACAATCGATATGCTTTCCATGCAAAACTAAAATGAGAAAAATGTTAAGGTCAAAGCTTAGACAAGTATCAACAATATAGTGAGTAAGGTCAGTTTCTTACAGACTCATCAGTATTAGAAGTGAACAGCAGTACTCAGCTCTTCTCTGCCACATGAATGATTGTCCACCTTAGCACAGTATCCCTATGTGTGTCTCCAGCAAATTCCTGGAGTGGTTTCAATTTTTTCTTTTTGGCTTTAAGAATTATATTCAAAGGAGAATGACCAAGGGGGTGAATTCAACTATGATATATTGTAAGAACTTTTGTAAATGTCACAATGTTCCCCTAGTACAACAATAGTTAAAAAAAAAATTTAAAGAATTATTTTCATAGACAACATAATAATATTATAGATAGTTGAGAAATTATTGAGGGAGAAATCTCCAAGAATCCCATCTGGGACATACTAAATAAGTAACTATAATACTATGTAGTAAGTGTTCTAAGGGCAAAGAGAAAAACTAACATTTACTAACTTTTTTTAATCTTTCTTTTTTTTGTCTTTTTGGTACTGGGGCTTAAACTCAGAGCCTACACCTTGAGCTACTCTACCATCCCTGTTTTGTGAAGGGTTTTTTCAAGCAGGGTCTCATGAACTATTTGCCTGGGATGACTTTGAACCACAATCCTCCTTATCTCTGCCTCCTGAGTAACTAAGGATTACAGACATGAGCCACCAGTGCCAGGGTAATTTTTTTTATCTTTTGGTGCAATGGTAGAAATGAAACCTAGAACCTCATGAGTGTAAGCAAGCACTCTTGCCACTGCATAAATGGTCAGCCCCTATAATTTACTATATTTTTAATGACCAAGCACAGAGGAAAAAGCTTTATACAGGTCATCTAACTTAATCCTGACAACCAGTTTATTAGACAAGTATTCCTATGCCCTTTTCACATAAAACATTAGGTCTAGCAAACTGCCCAAGGTTAAAGCTAGTGAAGTGGAAAAGTTTTTTAAAAAATTCAAAACTTACTGTTCTTCTATACTCTTAAGGAAATGATTAATTTGTCCAGAAACATGAAGCAAGTGATAATCTGGGCTGGGTGTGATGATACATACCTGTAATCCCAGCACCATTAGGCAAGAGGATCATCAGTTTGAGTGCAGCTTGTGCTACACAGTAAGACCCTACCTCAAACAAATAAACAAAAAAGTAACAATGTGATAACGTCTTAATCACTAAAATTAAGATTTCTGGCCAGTCATAACAGCATAGACCTATAACCCCAGCACTGGGGAGGCTGAGGTAGAAGGATCTTGAATTTCTGGTCAGCCTGGGATACATATCAAAACTCTGTCTTTAAAAACAAAAACAAACAAACAAACATGGACAGGAAAAGAGGAAGGAAGAGAGATGGGGGGAAAGAGGAAAGAGTAATAGGGAGAAAGGGAAAGGGACAGGAAATAGTTTGGTGATAGAGCACTTATCTAGCATGTTGTGCAAGGCCCTCGGTTCAATCCACAGTTGGGAGGGAGAGAGATTAAGATTTGATTTTTCTCTTTTCACTTTATAAGGTATCAGTTAGAGGTTATTAGCCAACATGTTAAACACATTACACACCCAATCTATGACTTAATAAAAAAGTACAGTCTCTAATAAAACATCCTGACTTTATTCCAAGAAAACTTACCTATCTTTTCTTCAATGCCTTGCCTATCACATTTCCTATTTAAAACCCTTCCCTAGGCTGACTCAAGTGGTAGAGCACATGCCTAGCAAGCACAAGGCCCTGAGTTCAAACCCCAGTAACAACAAAAAATAAATATTTAAAAACTATAACTGCCCTAGCCTAGTATTTCTTTCATTGCTACCACCCCAGGAGCATTTTTAGATGATCTCCTCCGTCCTATAACGTTTCATTAACACATATGTACTAGCTATGCATGCTTGGCAGTCTGTGGAGGGCCACAAATCACTGAAGTATTTAACAGCTTTTCATTCCTCCCCCGACCAATGACCAATTTTCACCAGAGAACACATACCCTACCCAATCCATACAGACTGCCTCCTCTTCTGACCTTTAGCAACTAATGAATATCTGATTATAGCTTGTTTTTCTTATGATATTTTATTTAATGTTGGATAGTTTTGCTTTTCAGTGTATCATTTCCTGAAGTAGATTTAAGTATCTGTCTGTCTTCTTCCCCATGGCTCCCAGAACATATAAAAATATAGTGGTCAACTTAACGAATACTTTAATTAAACATAAAAATTCAGTTAAAATATAAACTACATGAAAATCACCAACCACTTGAAATGATTAATTTTAAAACATAAAATGATATACAATATATAGTTATGCATGTTCAACAATGGATTTGATTCTTCACACAGAGAAGCAGAAACAAGGACTCAACCTTTATTCTCATACAAGTAAGTTATGAGCAATTGCAACACTACAAATAAAGCATAGCTAAATGTTTCCTCTGACTATCCTAAGTAAGACCTGGTTCAGGTTCCGACAGCATGACATGTCAGTGGGATTACTCATAATCAGTCATTCTCAACACAGGACATGGGGCAAAACAATTTGGATTCCCAGAGGATTAGTGATAGGAAAAAAGGTAAGCTAGCCTCACTGGCAAAAGCAAGGACATTTCACACACTTAACCTTCCCTTAAAGACTTGGAGAAGGAAACCCACTACACGTCTATAGGAAAGACACACAAAACAGGAAGAACAACAATGACACTGATGCTGGAGACAAGACAGCTCTGTGTCCTCAGCAGTACTAGTGTACATTTGCTAAAAGGAAACAAAAGTATATTCAGAAGTAGGATGTATCAAGAATACTGCATATTATTAAGTGTGTTTTAGAAAAAGGTAGCTTGCAATAGTGGATTTAAAGTTAGTTTGAAGCTCAATAAGCACTGATTATTGATATATCCGATAATCTATGACCAACTTACATACAATCACTTTATACATTACTTTCTTTGTAAAAATGGTTTTAACAATGCTGTATCTACACTGCAGATGTGTGATAAAGATAATGAATAAAAGAACTATTATAAGAGCCAGCAACTGAGAAGGTGATCGATGATGACCTTTAATATTATAAGGATAGGCCAGGCGCTGGTGGTGCCTGCCTGTAATCCTAGCTACTTGGGAAACTGAGATCAGGAAGATAGAGGTTTTAGGCCAATCCAGGCAAGAAGTTTGTGAGACCCCTATCTTCAAAATAATCAGACCAAAATGGACTAGAGGTGTGGCTCAAGTAGTAGAGCATCTGCTCTGCAAGATCAAAACCCTGAGTTCAAGCCCCAGTCCCATCAACACACACACACACACACACACACACACACACACAGAGGCAGGTAACACAAACTAATGAAGAAAACACAGACATTGTTAACTATAGCCATGAGCCAGAAGATAGTAAGACTAGGTCTGATACAAAGAGAAAATAGATAAAAGATAGGGTAGTTTAGCATGGCAGCAGCAAAAGTAAATGTATTAAAATGGTGAGAATGGAATTAACAAGTATCCATCAACAGATGGATAATTTACAAAAGAGTATTACTCAGCTAAGAAAGTAATGCAGTTCTGACATATGCTACTGGACCAGAGCAGGGGGAAAATGTACTTATATTGTTCAGAACAAACTGACTGAGTAGGTTATTTTTTGGAGGAGAACTGGGATGTGAGGTGATGAACTGGGGGTCTTTAGTTTTTTGCCTACCCTCTCAGTCCCTTCCCTAATCTTTTAAGGATCCATCCTTTTCACATGATACTCTCTTCTTTCATGGGAATTAACTTGCAGAAAAGTAATGTGTTCCTCTAAAAACAAAATGCATATGGTAGCCCCAGAAGGTCAAAATTAGCTTCTTTTCTTTGTTGGTTGGTTGGTACTGGAGTTTGAACTCAGGGTACTCTACCACTTGAGTCACACTTCCAGCTCTGTTTATTCTTGATATGGGGTCTTCCTATGTAGCCCAGGTTGGCCTTGAGTTCAAGATCCTCCTGCATCAGCCTCCCAAATGTTGGGATTACAGAAGTATACCACAATTCTTGGTTTTGGAGGTACTTTCAAGGAAAGAAGGCACTCTGAAGAGAAAGACCTCACCAAGCCCACCCATTCTCTCACTGTAACTCCTTGAATCCAAAAAAAGCCCTTCCCACTCCTTGAACCCTGGAAAATGAAGATTTGAGACAGAGAGGTCTCATCCTCATTTTCTTAAGGGCCAGCCTTGAATAAACTTACTCCATAACTTCTGTCTCCGAGAAGTACAAACCTCATATTCCGGTAACTACTCCATGGAAACATTAAACTAAGTAAAACATACCACACTCAAAAGGACAAAAACTATAGAAATCCACTTAAATGAAATAGCTACAATAGACAAATTCCTACAGACAGAGTAGCTCTGAGGTTACCAAAGGTTTGGGTAAGAGGGTAATGAAGGGGTTATTTCTTACAAGGTAAGAGTTTCTATGTGGGGAATAAAAATTTTTGGGAAGAGACAATGGTAACAATTGCCACTGAATTGTACACTTAGAGACAGTTAAAATGAGAAGGGAAGGAGGAATCCACACCATCATTACTTTAAGAGTCCAAAACGAGCAATAGGGCTGGGGATGCAGTTCATCAGTAACTTGCCTAGCATGCATGAGGCCCTAGATTTGATCCCCAAAAGGAACCCCCCCCACAAAAAAAAAACACAGCAATAATCTAAACAAGTGATATATTCATATAATGGAATATTTACTTGGTAATAAAAACTACACACGAAACAACATGGACAAGTAGCAAAAGCATGTGAGTATAAGAAACCAACACAAAAGAGTGTATGTTGTATGATTCCATTTATATTAAGTTCAGAAACACACAAAAACAAACCTGGTGTGCTCCAAGTCAGAACATGGGTACCTCTGGCAGTGGAAGAGTAATAAGTGGAAAGGACA